TACTTATGCAGCAATATACCTTCATCACCTGCATACGGGGTATATATCTCTCAGTTGATTCGATACGCAAGAGCATGCTCTACGTATGTACAATTTCTAAAACGAGGTAAATTATTGACAAATAAGTTGATGAAACAAGAATATCAGCGGTCTCGTTTAAAGTCATCATTTCGTAAGTTCTACGGTCGATACAATGACCTTGTCAGCAAATACAATTTATCATTGAGTCAAATGCTGACTGACGTTTTTCATACTAATTGTTAGGCCACTGAATTGTCGACGGATTTTTCCGTTATTTCCTGATCATGACAAGGAGCACACGGCGGGTGTGACCGGTCGGCAGGGGATGCTCACTCCTCCATGGCACCTGATCCCACCTCTGATGTTTGGAGGTCCATGTTTGCTCTGCTCTTATTTTGTATTGTATAATGGACTTTTGAGCTTGAATACTGTTCGTTATCTCCATATATTTCATATTAGAAATTTGAGGGTAAAACAATAATCGCTTTATTTACTGACTCCCCATTTCAATATCAGACACAGTTTAAAGTCATTTTAACTATAGAAACGTGGGGTTATTCAAGTTCAGAATCAGTGAAAATTTTAATTTGAACGTAAATAACAAATATCATGTTCAACTACACTCTATCTCGTATTTTAATTTTTTACCTCAGATATGCCATATATAGCTTTAAGTATTAATGTATTTAAATGATGTAATGAAAAAATGCACATAAACCATATTTACATTTATTAAAGCTGAATTGGATGTCAGTGATATGGCTCATTATTGGGATACTTAAGGGTATTCTTCAGATACCTAGACTTTCCTTGGTATCCTTTTTTGTGTATTAAAATATGCAATAAACAGTTACTATGTTATTTACAAAAGCATAAAACCATTTTTAGATTTATAAAGGTCCAACTGGGTGTCCTTGGGGTATTTTGGGATATTCTTCGGGTTACCCTGGGATGTCCTTGTGGTAACTTAAGGCTATCCTTTGGTTCTTAAGCGAGTATCCTTTTGATTTGTGTATTGAAGTATATACAATAAACAGTTACTGTGTCATTTACAAGTGCAAATATAAACCATATTTACATGTACATTTATTAATGTTGAATTGGGTATCCTAGGGTACACTGGGATTTTCTTGTGGTACCTTAAGAGTATTATTATATGATTGAATAATTCCCATCTCTCTGATTGGCTGAGATCCAACAATGTTAGAAAAATGCTACATTATATTGACCTGCACGTGATCTTCCAGGTCAATATAAGGAATTATTTATTCTACATTGGACTAAAAATAGATAGGGAAATTCCAAATTGATGCAAATAGTTTTGGAAAGTTATTTCACTTGCATATGACATCCACTCATATGAACATAACATTAAGGCACATAGATTCTTGGGTGAGGGGTCGGGGGGGGGGGGGGGGGGTGTTGCAGGAGTCCTGCCCCTCTCCCCACCTTTTGAGAATGTTAAGTTTTAATTTAAATTTTTAAGGATAAAAAATTTCATTGTAAGCCCCCCTCCCCTCGAAAAGTTTATGTACGTTTACATCCCACCAAATAAAATTTTGATTTGGGAGAATTCTTTTCCTTTTTTAGGGGGGAGGGGGGGGGCTAGTCAAAGATTTTTCAGGTACGTTGTCAATTTTTTTTTCCTTTTTAATGCCCCCTTTTTCAAAATTAATCCTATATATGTGCCTGACATTTATTTTTTTATATTGCACCTAAACTAGAATTAAAAATTTCAAAATAATACAACTGGTTTTTTTAACTCCGTTTCTCTAATATTCGGCTAGTACTTCAGTAGATGTGAACAAGTAAGATGGCACGGATTGCTTAATGAGTGTGTGTCATTTAATCATTGAATCATATAATAAAACAATTGTTGCTGTTTTTTCGGTCAATACGATGATTTAGCCACCTTCGAAGTACAATATTCACCTCACCCTTCTGGCTCGGTGAATATTGTACTCCTCAGGTGTCTAAATCATCGTATTGACCTCAAAAACCAGCAATAATTGTATATTATTTGGTTTTATGTGAGTGTCCTTTGGTTTTGCGTATTGAAATACACAAATCATAGTTAAAACATGATTATTTATTTACACCGTATAAAATATTAAAGTTCTTCAAAACTAAACATGCATAATTGAGCTTAATTGTTTAATTAATTAATATTACCTATAAATTTTTAACTGGGGTAACTCCTCTATATTTAAGACAATTAATTTAAAAGTGTTAATTTGTCTTTCAAAAACATTTTTTTTCTAATTTACAAGTTTACCATATTTAGAATAATTAAGGTTGTATATGGTGTCCCTGGGGTACCTTGTGGTATCCCTGGGGTTCCTTGTGGTTCCTTGTGGTACCTTGTGGTTCCTTGTGGTAAAAAGACATACCCATATGCGTATGATCTACCACTGATGACCATAAATAGAACTTCCTTTAGTGTCACGTAATTATTTCACCCCAAGAAGTTTTCATATATATACATGTATATATATATATATATACAAACAGGAAAGGTACCATTATAACTGCGGTTACTTAGAAAAAAAAATCATCTCAGGCTAATTTGTCATTTTAAGGAAAAATAATCCCTCCAAAGATTTTCAATTTATGAATATTCAAGTTTATAAATTAAAAATTTAAAGTTTAATGTTTTTCATTTTTTAAAAGTTCATGAAAGATATGATCTAAAATTCTTCCATATCTCACAAACTCACAGATATATTTGTCATGATGCAATATTTACATTGATTCACCCATTCAATCAACCCATTAATGCTTGGCATTGTCCATCTGAATTAAAGATTTGTTAAGCAGTGGGGACTTCCATGTTACAATTTTTCTTGGTTGGCGTCATCTGTATAGTTAACCCTTTTTCATGATACCAAAGAAGACTTAAATAATTAATACTAAGTAGTCTAGAGATTTGCAGCTGCACAAAATTTTGCATTATCCCAGGAAAATTTTCAGAGAAAATACAAACACCAATTTAAATCACATATCCAGGGTTCGAAATTCACTATATACAACTCGCAAAACACAAGTTAGAATTCCCAAATTGCGAGTTAAAAATTAGGTAACTAGCAAAAACTTGCGAGTTGATTTTTTTTTGCATTGAAACTGTAGCAAAATTATATACTATGACAGAACACAATGCTTTTAATTTAAATCAGTAATTTAAATAAAAGTCACACTGTTGTTGCATTTTGTGTATTGTACAGTAGTTACTTTTTCCTTCAGTTACATGTATTTAATTTATATAAATTTAACTTTATATGAAAATTGCGAGTAGTCTTATAAAATTGCGAGTTCACTTTCTTGGTACTCGCAATTATTTGCGAGTTGTAATTTTAGGGAGTTTCTATCCCTGATATCTTTAAAATTATAAAGATAAGGAAACAAAATCTTAAATCATCGTAACAAATTATTCAGAATAAGAATTTTTTTTGCAGAACAGGCATGATTATTTATTAGTAATTATTGGTATATTCCATTGCTTATCAATTTAAAATGAGTCAATAAACTTGTATATCTCACATTCTTATAAACTACTGTAAATCACTTTTTATTCGCTAGAACTTTATTTTCGCTTAATTACACAAGACTATCTGCACTTGAAAAATTTCATTCTTGCGTATATATTTTATCGGTAGTATTAGGTCTCGGTAATGGTAAGATTATACAGAGCAAGGACCGAAATTTGTAGATATTTTGTCTTGTTCATAAATACCAAATAACAATCTCACAAATAGAAGGTTTCACAAAAAAAACAAAAAACAAGTGATCTATAGTATGTCTGCAAAATATATAAATTACTTTGATGCTGAACATGGTCTACATTTTAACAGCTGTTAAGAGTACAAGTCATAATTATAATTATCAGTATTGAATATTGGTAATTCTCTATTACTATCTTATTTTTAAAGACATTTCATTAAAAGCAGTGGAATGTTACTAAAAGTTCCAAAATGCTAAATGTATAAAAGCAAAAAAAAAAAAAAAAAGTTTTTTATTAGGGATTCATTAATGTTTCCTGTTTTATAAAAGAATACCTTCCTGTGTTACAAATTTAGCTACTTTAAACAGAGGAGTGTAAATGAATACAAATCAATGTATGGGGTTGCTGATATGCAAAGATAAAACTTGTGACATGACTAAATGTGTTTTCCAGTAAAGTTTATTGTACATTTGCTGCATAGGAAGATGAAAAGTGTTTTCTTTAAATGCAAATGCACAGAGGTGTGCAATACCTGTAATAGAGCACAACACATTCTCAAGAAGTCTGAAGATAAGTAAAAAAGTGACACATTGCTTTTTCACCATAATACTTATTTTATTCTATATAACTATTTTATTATATGAGTTGAACTTCATAGTTTCTTTGCTATCAGTCAAACTTGTTAGGTAAAGTGTATGTCTAGTGAAGATATTTTATTTTTAACTTTTCCTTAATTTGTTTACAGGGGTACTAATAAAATCCAGTTTCAAAATAAGTTCTCTATTGTCTTTTATGGCCTTTTAATTAAAAATAAGGAAGTTTTACACCAACCAAAATAACTCGCTACTTAGTATGTGTATTGATACTTGATTTTTTTCCCTGAATTTCAAATTCGATTTCAATTTATCAAGGTGCTTTAAGCAACTGAACCTTATATATGATATATGAAATATTCTATACACTATGAAATTCATGTAGATCGACCATTAATTTTCAGATGTTTCATTTGGAAATGTACATAAACTTCCTGTTTAAGATACTGTGAGACAGTATGACAACATGACCTGTATTTACCATAACTAATGAATATCAATTATACATTAACATATTAAATTAGGTTTGTCATAATTTTATTTATTTTCATATCCATATTCAAAACAAGATTTCTTAATTATTTGTAGTATTTTGATGTGAGTGATTGATTTTAAAACCTCTTATGTATATGAGGGAATTTTATATTACCAATTTATTTGTATTTCAGCAGGTGAGCTCTAAATGAGATGAATCACTGATGCAAGAGCACATTTTACATGATGGGGGACCGTGTCACAGCCAGCCCCTCCAGGATCCCTGTCCCCATGGTGTCTGCTAACCAACAGTATAATGGGACGACACAGAATGCAGAAACTTTGGACATCAATGGAGTGGAAAATGGCCAGAAAAGATTGGCACAGACTCAAGGGGAAGCAAAAGGTTTTGAGACCTTTGTTATGACGGGTGAAATGATCATCAGGACTTCTCAAAAATCCCGCAATCCCTCTAGTAGAAATCCATCAGACAGCACTGATGAATCCTTCGACAGTCAGTCTAGTCTTACAATCATTACAAAGACAAACCATATGTCAGCTGAGTCTGGTTTTGAAGATCATGATGCTCATGAAAAGACTTTGGCTGCAGATATAGTGGAAGATATAGGTAGCCCCATGAGTTCTTCACAAAGTTCTGCTTTGTCCTCTGATGTGAAATCAGATGTGTCTGAACAAACTGTGATTAGACAGAATATAGGCAGTGAATCTCCTAGTGTGACTGATAGCAGTTCTGGAGTTGTGTCCCCTGAGAACTCTAATGGGGATTTAACTGTGGACGTTGCCATGAAGGACTCCGTCGGATCAGGGAAGCTGGTGACGAGTAAAAGTGCCGATAAAATTGTGTCAACTAGTCATCAAACTGTGAGAGGAAGTAAAAGTCAGGAATTAAGAACAAATTGTGAATTCTCTGCTGTGAGCATAGACATTGAGGAAGATGTCGCACATTCTCTGGACCAGATCCCTCAGCAAGGACTGAGCTCACGAGAAACAAATGTAAGTAGGAGCGTGGAGAGCTCCCCAGAACACACTAAGACTGAAAGGAGTCACGACAGGGAGTTCATACCAGGCTTTATAAGTCTGCATGGCAATGTGAATGGTGCTAATGCCTGTGATACAAACATTGACCACGAAATATGTGCCAAACCTCTGGATGACAGTGTCCAGTCTGCTGACCACTCTCATCGATCAGAGAGGGACTCGTTGGACCCTTCCATGGACCCAAATCTCCTTGAGTATCAGCCACCAATAAAAAGTGTGGATCATCCTTCAGCCCATAGGTTGGCTAAAAGACTGTTTCATATGGATGGATTCAAAAAGTCAGATGTTGCAAGACATCTCTCAAAGAAGTAAGTACTAGTACATGTATTTGATCATGAGATAAGGTTATTTTAATCAATATCTCATTTGTTTTTGTTTGTTTACATGTTGTTTAATGTCCCTCTGAGAATTTTTCACTCATATGGAGAAGCCAACACTTGTTGGTGGAGGCCTGCAAATTTTAACCTATGCTCGGCACTCAGGGCCATGAGCCGTGAGGAATCTTTTTCGTGCCACACCTGCTGCAACAAGGGACCTCGGTTTATACAGTCTAATCTGAAAGAATGGTCTCCACATCCCACAATGGATTCAAACCTTCCGCATAAGGATCAACTCCTTACTCCTCGACTCTAGAGCAGACGCTCTAATCACTGCCCCACGCGGGTGACAATATCTAATTTGAATTCATAGTGGTAGATTACAGGGATGGTTTGAAGCTTACTGTGGTAGATTACAGTTATTGATTCTGAACCATATACTTAAATATTCAGTCAAACAATTATACGTATAATAATAGCGGTACCAGTAATTTTCTAGGATTTAAAACATTTTAGCTCAATATGAATTTATAACATCCTGGTTACTAAATGGAAGTGCCAAGACATGCCATCTCTTTAGAGGAATTGTAATAATTGTATTTGTGCTTTTGTCCTTCAGATATATGTACCAGGTACTTAAGTCTGAATTAAAATATTTTATAACTTTTTTGTTCTTTTTGGAAAAGCTTTTAAGTTAATGGATTACTGCAAAATGCTAACAATCATCCAATAGTATGAAAACAGGCTATTCAGTAAATTGTCTTGAATTGTCCTGAAGAAAAATTAAAGCTTTTTGCATGCATGAAAAGGCCTTTTTAAACCAAGTGAAGATCAAGCATGCATTTCAAATGTAAATTTCATATTCTCAGAGTGAAAATAATATATATGATTTATACTTGATTTGAAATATTTTTTACTACTGTACTTGTACATCATTCTGCTAAAATTAATCTTCTTACCTGGTTGCTATGGGGAATTTGCTGTTGCCATGGAGATAAGTAATTGTACAATAGTCATTAATTTGTATATAAAGTCTGATTTACATTCTGTCACTTCAGAATTTGTTTTATATGGTACTCTAAGATAACAATTCATACAATTTCTCTTTGAACATTTTTCAATTTTTCACTATTTATCAAAACATCCATTATTGTTGCTAGGCAATGGATACTAATTTTCAAAAAACCCACATGTTTGAATTCAAATTTTAAAAGAGACATTTCTCTACATTTTTGTGAAATGCATGCAACAGCTGTATTTTTTTTTTAGATGCAAATTTTAATTTGACCTTGAACATGTTGAATGTCGCCAAAATCAAGAAAAATGCTGAATCAGCAAAAATGCAAGACATGCAATTTTACAATGTCTATCACAGAACTATCATTAAATCTGATATACCAGTGAAGAGGAATAATTTTATTCATATTTACATTTCATTTCAAGTCTGTCAAGATAAGTGACTTTTGTCCTACCACATGGAAAAATTAACCAGTTCCTAGGGGAATTTCTTTGGCCAGGTTTCCATAGTAACCATGAACCAAAAACATCTTTTTTATTTTACATGCATAGATCATAGTGCAAGAGAAAATCTATGTTTTGAAAATCACCTATTCTGAGAACCTTCATGTATGATGACCTTTTGTCTGATTTTTAGCTCACCTGAGCTGAAAGCTCAAGTGAGCTTTTCTGATCACCCGTTGTCCGTTGTCCGTCCATCTGTCTAGCTGTCCGTTCGTCCGTCTGTAAACTTTTCACATTTTCAACTTCTTCTCAAGAACCACTGGGCCAGTTTTAACCAAACTTGGTACAAAGTATCCTTGGGTGAAGGGGAGTGTAAATTGTTAAAATAAAGGGCCAAGTCCCCTTACAAGGGGAGATAATCAAGAAAAGACAAAAATAGGGTGGGGTCATTAAAAAATCTTCTTCTCAAGAACCACTGGGCCAGAAAAGCTGAAACTTATGTGTAAGCATCCTAAGATAATGTAGATACTAAATTGTAAAAATCATGACCCTTGGGGGTAGGGCGGGGCCACAATATGGAATCCAAGTTTTACATTGAAATACATAAGAAAAATCTTTAAAAATCTTCTCAAGAACCACTGGGCCAGAAAAGCTGAAACTTATACAAAAGGATCCTGGGGTAGTGTAGATTCTAAATTGTTCAAATCATGTCCCCCGGGGGTAGGGCAGGGCCACAATAGGGAATCCAAGTTTTACATTGAAATATATAAGAAAAATCTTAAAAAATCTTCTTCTCAAGAACCACTGGGCCAGAAATACTGAAACTTATATGGAAGCATCCTGGGGTAGTGTAGATTCTAAATTGTTCAAATCATGACCCCCGGGGGTAGGGCGGGGCCACAATAGGGAATCCAAGTTTTAAATTGAAATACATAAGAAAAATCTTAAAAAATCTTCTTCTCAAGAACCACTGGGCCAGAAAAGCTGAAACTTATACGGAAGCATCCTTGGGTAGTGTTGAATCTAAATTGTTCAAATCATGACCCCCGGGGGTAGGGCGGGGCCACAATAGGGAATCCAAGTTTTACATTGAAATATGTAGGAAAAATCTTAAAAAATCTTCTTCTCAAGAACCACTGGGCCAGAAAAGCTGAAACTTATAAGGAAGCATCCTGGGGTAGTGTAGATTCTAAATTGTTTAAATCATGACCCCCGGGGGTAGGGCGGGGCCATAATAGGGAATCCAAGTTTTACATTGAAATACATAAGAAAAATCTTAAAAAATCTTCTTCTCAAGAACCACAGGGCCAGAAAAGCTGAAAATTATATGGAAGCATCCTGGAATAGTGTAGATTCTAAATTGTTCAAATCATGACCCCCGGGGTTAGGGCGGGGCCACAATAGGGAATCCAAGTTTTAAATTGAAATATATAAGAAAAATCTTTAAAAATCTTCTTCTCAAGAACCACTGGGCCAGAAAAGCTGAAGCTTATATTGAAGCATTTTGGGGTAGTGTAGATTCTAAATTGTTCAAATCATGACCCCCGGGGGTAGGGTGGGGCCACAATAGGGAATCCAAGTTTTACATTGAAATATGTAGGAAAAATCTTAAAAAATCTTCTTCTCAAGAACCACTGGGCCAGAAAAGCTGAAACTTATATGGAAGCATCCTGGGGTAGTGTAGATTCTAAATTGTTCAAATCTTGACCCCCCGGGGGTAGGGCGGGACACAATAGGGAATCCAAGTTTTACATTGAAATATATAAGAAAAATCTTTAAAAATCTTCTTTTCAAGAACCACTGGACCAATAAAGCTGAGACATATTTGGAAGCATCCTGGGGTAGTGTAGATTCTAAATTGTTCAAATCATGACCCCCGGGGGTAGGGCGGGGCCACAATAGGTATATTAAAAGGGGGGAAATCTGTTAAAGAACAGCATGGCCAAAGTTACTCAGGTGAGCGATGTGGCCCATGGACCTCTTGTTTATATGGATGGACTGGTCAAATAAATATTCAATACGAAGATTTTCAAAACAGAAGATTTAAAAATTAATTGGGAGGGTGGAAGGGGGTTGCAATATCTTGAGATTTTGTCTCCCGTCAGAAGAATCATGTGTATGTCCCTGGCACTTATAGATGTTATAAGCATGTTTTACTGAATTTGTTGTTGTCCCTCACATGTGACAAATGGGGCAAAATTGTTTGAAAATGTAAAGTAACATGGGCAAAATAAGCCTATGAACAATATTTTGGGCTCCTTTTTCTGAAGTGGCTATGAAAAAAATTGTCAACCAGTTTAACTTTTTTGATATTATTTTGTATCTAATGGATGGTTGACAAAAATTGTGAATATCATGGGCTTCTACTTAGGATACTATCAAGGCCATGCATTGGGGCCTCATAATGATGAATGCCAAGTAAGGCTTTATTAAAGGACACAATTGCATAGTTGTTTATATGTTAGTGTACATATGTATATAATTCTATTTCATTATTTATTTTATCTTTTTTATCACAGGAATGATTTTAGTGCACTGGTGGCTGATGAATACTTGAAATATTTTAACTTTGAAGGAGACTCTCTTGATATGGCATTACGGAAATTCCTAAATCATTTTTCTCTTATTGGTGAAACTCAGGAAAGAGAGCGTGTCCTTGATCATTTCTCTAGGCGATACTTGGAATGCAATCCAGGAGCCTTTAACTCTGTTGGTAAGTCTCAATACCACTCACCTGGACTTGGAATTTTGGTATTCTTTTGTGAAAGAAAATTTGTAAGATTTTCAACAGCAAAATATTTTAATTTGTCCATAAAAATAAAAGTGATATTTTTCACTGTGAAAAATATCAAAAGTGTGGCAAAACTCAAGATTTTTCTTCCCTTCACAAAAGTATTATAGAAAAAATATTCCTGTCGTAAGATAGCAAGACGTGGACTTAAACTGCCTGAGTTTCTTCAAATTGTTGTAAAAATTTACAATTTTCAATTTCTGATTGGCTTAGCCATGTCGTCTAGCAACTATGATGTCACAGCCCACAACAATATGTTATGAAATGACAGGCAAAAGGAAAATCAAAGAAAATATAATAAAAAGAAAATGTAATGTTTTGTAGTTGGATATGAATTTATTTCACTTGATAGACACAATTTTTTAGCTCAACTGAGCTGAAAGCTCAAGTGAGCTTTCTGCTCAAAGAGTGTCTGGCGTCCTTCTGTCATGTGTCGTCTGTCGTTCAAGTTTGTTCAAATCATCCAGAAGGTAGGGGGATCACTTACATATTTAAACTTTTTAATACTGAACTGATTTCTGCTTTTCCCTAGCAGTAGTCAAAGTGCTCAGGTGAGTGATATGACCTTTGGGCCTCTTGTTTTACATTTTCACTTGCTTTGAACTCGTGAAAGTATTAAAAAAAAATCCTGTCCCACTGGGTGAAAATAACCCTGTATTCGGTATGCTTTGATTTAAAAGAGTTGCCAAATTGGAACTGCATTATAAGTACAGTTTGGTTGTTCATAATAACATTGAATATCTTTTTCTACAAATAGATGCCTGTCATACTCTCACTTGTGCCATTATGCTGCTTAACACTGATCTTCACGGACAGGTAACAATTTTGTCTATTTTCATTTTGAACTTTTTTCTGCCGTTGAGGTTTTCTTGCTACTATTAATCACTTTTTATGTGCGAGAACTTTGTTTTCACATAATTACACGAAACGGTCTGCTCACAAAAATTTCATTCTTGCATATATTTTTATTAGCAATGGATATATATACAGCAATAATCAGCATTCGTGAAATTTTGTCCCACTTATAAGTACCAAATATCTATCTCACGAAAATAAGGTGTTGGGAAAATTTGGTAATCTAGTCTACGTTAGATTTTTTTAGCATTACTAACACTTTTTTTTCTTCATTGTAGGGCATTAAGAAGAGGATGACCTGTCATGAATTTATTGAGAATTTATCAGAATTAAATGATGGAGAGAACTTTAACAAGGAGGTTTTGAAAAACATTTACCATGCCATAAAGACGGAACAGATAGAGTGGGCCATGTATGTAACATCCATAGACTAAGTCAGACTTTATAATTGCTGCATTGAATGTCACTTTAAATAGCTACTTGCTTGGATGAAATTTAAATGAATTCTAGATAGCACCTTGTTATTTCACTAGAAACAAAATTTAAATTTAGAAGTACATATTCAAAGCATAAAATTACTTTTTTTCATATCCGGTAATAAACTACATGAACACTGTATCTGTTAATGTAGGATGAATTTTACGGAGTAAGATGTGTCCTTATTGCATTATTTTCAATACTATGATTATGCTGAAAATTTTTAAGCTGTTCAGCATAAAATATTTGGTCAGCCTGGTGTGTGCTGTTGTATGTAAAGCTTTTCAATCTGCTGTGTGCTGTTGTATGTAAGTTGTTCAGTCTAGTGTGTGCTGTGATATGTAAACTTGTTCAGTCTGGTGTGTGCTGTGGTATATAAAGCTGTTCAGTCTGTTGTGTGCTGTGGTATATAAAGCTGTTCAGTCTGTTGTGTGCTGTGGTATATAAAGCTGTTCAGTCTGTTGTGTGCTGTGGTATGTAAAGCTGTTCAGTCTGTTGTGTGCTGTGGTATGTAAAGTTGTTCAGTCTGTTGTGTGCTGTGGTATATAAAGCTGTTCAGTCTGTTGTGTGCTGTGGTATATAAAGCTGTTCAGTCTGTTGTGTGCTGTGGTATGTAAAGCTGTTCAGTCTGGTGTGTGCTGATATATGTAAAGCTGTTCAGTCTGTTGTGTGCTGTGGTATGTAAGGTTGTTCAGTCTGGTGTGTGCTGTTGTATGTAAGTTGTTCAGTCTGGTGTGTGCTGTTGTATGTAAGTTGTTCAGTCTGGTGTGTGCTGTTGTATGTAAGTTGTTCAGTCTGATGTGTGCTGTCATATATAAGTTGTTCAGTCTGGTGTGTGCTGTTGTATGTAAGTTGTTCATTCTAGTGTGTGCTGTGATATGTAAACTTGTTCAGTCTGGTGTGTGCTGTGGTATGTAAAGCTGTTCAGTCTGTTGTGTGCTGTGGTATGTAAAGCTGTTCAGTCTGGTGTGTGCTGTGGTATGTAAAGCTGTTCAGTCTGTTGTGTGCTGTGGTATATAAAGCTGTTCAGTCTGTTGTGTGCTGTGGTATGTAAAGCTGTTCAGTCTGTTGTGTGCTGTGGTATGCTGTGGTATGTAAAGCTGTTCAGTCTGTTGTGTGCTGTGGTATGTAAAGCTGTTCAGTCTGTTGTGTGCTGTGGTATGTAAAGCTGTTCAGTCTGTTGTATGCTGTGGTATGTAAAGTTGTTCAGTCTGGTGTGTGCTGTGATATGTAAAGCTGTTCAGTCTGTTGTGTGCTTTGGTATGTAAAGTTGTTCAGTCTGGTGTGTGCTGTTGTATGTAAGTTGTTCAGTCTGGTGTGTGCTGTTGTATGTAAGTTGTTCAGTCTGGTGTGTGCTGTTGTATATAAGTTGTTCAGTCTGGTGTGTGCTGTTGTATATAAGTTGTTCAGTCTGGTGTGTGCTGTGGTATGTAAGTTGTTCAGTCTGGTGTGTGCTGTCATATATTAAGCTGTTTAGTCTGTTGTGTGCTCTCGTATATTAAGCTGTTCAGTCTGGTGTGTGCTGTCGTATGTAAAGCTTTTCAGTCTGTTGTGTGCTGTAGTATATTAAGCTGTTTAGTCTGGTGTGTGCTTTGGTATGTAGAGCTGTTCAGTCTGGTATGTTTTGTGGTAATTAAAGCTGTTCAGTCTGGTGTGTGCTGTGGTATATATAGAGGATATTCAATGTTTTGTAGTTGGATATGGAATTTATTTCACGAGTGGGACAGGATTTTTGATATTTTCACAAGTGCAAAGCATGAGTGAAAATATCAAAAAATCCTGTCTCACGAGTGAAATAAATTCTATATCCAACTACAAAACATTGAATTTTCTGTTTATTACATTTTCTTTGATTTTTTCCCTTTGCCTCTCTCTTTTCTTAACACAGTGTCATAGGCTGTGGCGTCATAGTTGTAGCAGTTAAGAAGTCATAGCTTGGCAGTTGTGAGATTAAAAACATTGTAACATAGATTTTAGCAACATATTTCGGAAGAAATTGGCAGTTTTAATCCCTGTCAAGATGGTTTAGTTTCTATCTCAATCTTGTTACAGGGCAGAAATTATATTTTACTTACTTTGATATCCTTTCACACTGTGACAGAATATCACTTTGGTATCCTTTCACACTGTGAAAGGATATCACTTTTATTCAATGAATAAATCACAGTATTTCACTGTTGAAAATGTAATAAAAAGCTGTTCAGTCTAGTGTGTGTTGTGATATGTAAACTTCTTCAGTCTGTTGTGTGCTGTGGTATATAAAGCTCCTCAGTCTGGCGTGTGCTGTTGTAGTAAAGTTCAGTATGGTGTGTGCTGTTGTATGTAAGTTGTTCAGTCTGGTGTGTGTTGTATGTAAGTTGTTCAGTCTGGTGTGTGCTGTTGTATGTAAGTTGTTCAGTCTGGTGTGTGTTGTGGTATGTAAAGCTCTTCAGTCTGTTGTGTGCTGTGGACTGTGGTATGTATCATTTACTTTTGTTTAATTTTTGACAGGGATGAGGAAGACGAAGATAATATCTCTGAAGTAGACGACAAGTTATCTGCCCCTAGTCAGCCAAGCATTGCTCTACACAATCCCTACTTAGACGTAAGGCATAAACTGCCATATTAGCTCTGGAATTACCCAGAGTCATTTTTACACAAAATATCCCTGAAATATCACATTTGATGCTGAGTTTGTTGTACTGTTTTGTAGATCCCCGATCCTAGTCAAACCACAGAATATAAGAGTGGTTATATTATGAGAAAATGTTGCAAAGAGCCTGATAATAGAAAAAGTAAGACTTAAATTGATTGTGAAAAAATTAAAGGAATCTTTTGTACCAGTAAAAAGATGGAAGTTTTATGATTCATTAAGGAAAAGAAGTTATTCCCATAGATACCTGATTTTGTCAAATTTTGTCATAACAGACCAGTCAATATGACAAATATAAACTGATGGGAAATGTGAATTGTCTTGAAAAGATTACAATTTTAGTTGTTTTTAGCTCACCTGAGCCGAAGGCTTAAGTGAGCTTTTCTGATTGAAATTTGTCCGTTGTCTGTCCTCGTTGTCGTAGTCGTCGTCGTCGTTGTCATAAACTTCACATTTTCATCTTCTTCTCAAGAACCACTGGGCCAATTTCAACCAAACTTGCCACAAAGTATCCTTGGGTAAAGGGGAATCAAGTTTGTTCAAATGAAGGGCAACGCTTTCTTCCAAGGGGAGATAATTATGAATTCATGAAAAATTAATGGCATCATTTAAAAATCTTCTTCTCAAAAACCATTGTGCTTGAAAATATGAAACTTATATGGAAGCATCATCAGGTAGTGTAGATTCAAGTTTGTTCAAATCATGACCCCCAGGGGTAGGGTGGGGCCACAATGGGGGATCAAAGTTTTACATAGGAATACATAGGAAAAATCTTTAAAAATCTTCTTCTGAAGAACAGCAAAGCCATGATTGGTCATATTTATATGGAAGCATCCTCAGGTAGTGTAGATTCAAGTTTGTTCAAATCATGACCCCCTGGTGAAGGGTGGGGCCACAATGAGCGATCAAAGTTTTACATAGGAATATATAGGAAAAATCTTTAAAAACCTTTTTCTCAAGAACAGCAAAGCCATGATTGGTCATATTTATATGGAAGCATCCTCAGGTAGTGTAGATTCAAGTTTGTTCAAATCATGACCCCCAGGGGTAGGGTTGGGCCACAATGGGTGATCAAGGTTTTACATAGGAATATATATATAGGGAACATCTTTAAAAATCTTCTTCTCAAGAACAGCTAAGCCATTAGTCATATTTAAATGGAAGCATCATCAGGTAATGTAGATTCAAATTTGTACAAATCATGATCCTCTGGAGAATAGAGGGGCCATAACAGGGGATCATACAAAGGATATATCAATCAAAATTTTCTTCTTAAGAACAGCAAAGCCATTATTTGTCATATTAATTCAAAAGCATCCCTATGAAGTTTAGATTCAAGTTAATTAACCCCCCCCCCCCCCCCCCCCCCCCCGAACCAGTTTTATATTTAAACTTTTTAAGACTGAACTGATTTCTGCTTTTTCCTAGCCAGAGTGCTCAGGTGAGCGATGTGGCCCCTGAGACTCTTTTTTTTTATGAACGAACCTGGTTTACTACCTAATTATAATAAGTGTTCATAATGAATCAAATTAATTGCTCTAGCTCCACTTGGTAAGAGAGGGTGGAAAGTGTTTTACTCATCTCTACGGGACATGGTTCTGTATCTGCACAAAGATCAACACAGTAAAGGTCAGGGGTCAGAGGGATTACAGAATGCCATTCGGATTCATCACAGTCTGGCCTCCAAGGCTACAGACTATACCAAAAAACAACACGTGTTCCGACTGGAGACGGCAGACTGGGCTGAATACCTCATACAGACAAGGTTACATAGGGTTTTAGATCCATTTTGTTCATGGTTATGATTTTTAACTAAGGGAGAGTAATTAATTTTGCACAATACTTATTTTGTTCAGTTTAATAAAAAAAAAAAATTATTTTAGTTGTATTTAGAGGTCAGCAAATAACACTGACTTTGGAACATTATTCTAATGTCACATGAGAAGAGATTTAATTTTAGGGTTGTAGTTGGGTAACTGTATTTCTGTAAGATAATGATTTTAACTTCAGTTCACTGTAAGATTGCCCAGTAAGCAGTGCAGCTGTGTTAAGAAATGTAATATGTTCTATTGCATAGTGACAGCAAAGAACTTCAGTCCTGGATCGACACAATAAACTATGTGGCCGCCAGCCTCTCTTCTCCCGCCTTGCCAAGTGCAGTAGGGTCACAGAAGAAGTTCCAGCGCTCCTTGTTACCAGCAACCTATACCAAACTAAACTTGGTACATGTATTAAACTACTTGGCAGTAAATTAAATGTATTTTTGATTAGTAGAAAAGGAAAGTGTTGAAAACAAGATATCACTTCAATTTTTATTATTTTAAAGGAAAAATTAACCTTATGGAAGGATGAAAGTCTTCTAGGTCTTAAGTTATTTTACATTCAATGTGAAGTTTGATTGATTTCAGAGAGAGCAGTTGGAGAGTCATGAGAACAAATCGTTGGAGATTGAGAGAGATTTACATGAACACCGACAGTATCCTCCGGAGAAGGGATCTAAAGCCAGAATTATTCAGGACTACATAGATAAAGAAAGTTACCTAGAACATGAGGTTAGAATGTGTTGTTAAGTTTAAACATTGCCAGTGTGCAATACAATTTTTGGAAATTCTTCTTAACTTGTTTCTGATTTTCAGATCCAGGACTGAAGTTCTTTGCTGTCACTATGCAATAGAACATATTAAATAAAGAACCACTGTTACATCTACAGTTGAACTTTGGTATCTTGAACATGCCAAAGTGGTTTGGAAGTCCCACCCTCTTATTCATTTATTCTCTAAGTATTTTACCCTAGATATCTCAAATTGTCAGATATCTCGAAGTTTTTTCTCAGTCCCACCGAGTTCAAGATAACGACGTTTGACTGTATTAAATTCACAAATAGTCAATGAATTTGTTCACTGACTTTTCATATTTCTTTATTCTTATGTAGTTTTCTAAAAATAGAATATTTATTAAATGTACTTATATTAATTTCTTTTTAGCTGAAGCGATATAAGACCTATGTTTACCTCCTCAAGGCACACATGACGGCTTTCCCTGAACTGGAGCCTTCACTTGTGGAGACGGTAATCGGTGAAGTGGACGAGTCAGTTGACCTAGATAAACGAGCCTCACCTTCACATCGGGGTGCGGTCCAGCGGAGCCTGTCTGAGAGGTACAGTTATCGAGCAGCTATTTATAACACAGAGCGGGTGGAATATGACATCATATAGCAACCCTGAGGGATGAAAGTGCAATATATATTTATGTTTTTATTGTAGCAGTATTTCCACCTGTATGGTGGTGTATGTCCATTTCATACTTTCAAATAAGATTTATTGGTTACACATGTGAGTGAGAAATGATAACTGAATATACATTTGAATTTACTTTGTATGTACAAAGCAAGGATATATTGTTCCGAGTTGATAATAATGTAAAAATTGTGCATGTCTTGGCAGGTGATCTGAAATCCACCTGCATGCTTTTTAACAGGAAGAAGGGGGTAGTTAGTTTGAATTTGGCCACTAACATATAGTCACAAAGGAAAATGGGTAACACCTATATATATATAGTCATTATAGGTACTTGTACTAACATTTTGTGGAAAATTTTCTGTTGTGAGTTATCTCTCTTGCACTCTTTGTTCATCTTTGTTTCATATATTGTCTCCATATTTCAGAAACGAAACATAATGCTGTCTCTTGCTTATTTTGAAGATACAAGTATACTAGTTTTTTAGCTCACCTCAACGAAGTTGGGGGAGCTTATGTAATACCCTCAGCGTCAGCATCCCAGGTTAAGCTTTCTGGAGCAGTTTTCTTTTCAAGTACTTCTATGGCCTATATTAGTCAGAGATGCATGGAGGATGCTTCTAGTGTGTTTCATTGTACCAGTCATGGTTTCAGATGCTGCAATTTCAGCTAAAGAATGACCAAGTTATGTTTTTGGAGCAGGTTAAAGTTTTTGGAGCAGGTCTCATTTCCAAGTAACTATAAGCCCTATATTGACCAAACTTGCATGAATGATACATCTAAGGATGCACACTACTGAACTTGCTTCGGATGCTGGATCTGACCTACATTTTCCGAATGAGTGACTAGGTTAAAGTTTTTGGAGTAGATCTCATTTCCAAGTAACTATAAGCCCTATATTGACCAAACTTGCATGGATGATACATCTAAGGATGCACACTACTGAACTTGCTTCAGATGCTGGATCTGACCTACATTTTCCGGTTGAGTGACTAGGTTAAAGTTTTTGGAGTAGATCTCATTTCCAAGTAACTATAAGCCCTATGTTGACCAAACTTGCATGGATGATACATCTAAGGATGCACACTACTGAGCTTGCTTCGGATGCTGGATCTGACCTACATTTTCCGGATGAGTGACTAGGTTAAAGTTTTTGGAGTAGATCTCATTTCCAAGTAACTATAAACCCTATATTGACCAAACTTGCATGGATGATACATCTAAGGATGCACACTACTGGACTTGCTTCAGATGCTGGATCTGACCTACATTTTCCTGATGAGTAACCAGGTTAAAGTTTTTTGGAGCAGATCTCATTTCCAAGTAACTATAAGGCCTATCTGAACCAAACTTGCATGGGTGATGCATCAAGGAACAAACAATCTCAAACTTGCTTCAGATGCTGGATTTGACTTACATTTTCTGGATGAGTGACTAGTTTTGAGTTTTCAGATAAGTCTATTCCAAAGTAATTGCAAGCCCTATCAGACCAAAATTGCATAAATGTTGCATCTAGGGATGCACACTCCAAGGTTATTAGTTTAGTGTGGGACTTTGCCATACTTAAAGACAACATTCGATGAGGTGAGCTCTGTAATCTCTGATTACCTATGTTTTGTCTGAGTCAGAAAGAGTCGTAGAGTGAATTTATTTACATTTATATTGTAGAACAAAATGTAATGTGACATCCAATCTTAGTACCATTTATTGGAACAGTCTTTCCATCTTTGTAGTATTTGGTATTACATGGGACATTTCACTTGTTGGCATAATTAACAGTGTCTTCTTGGTTTGTGTTCATTCATCATCTCTTAACAAGCATAAAGATATTTTCACACAAAACAGTTTAAGGTGATTAACTGTGTATGTACATCAAATTTTAATGTTAAATATTTTGTTGCCCAAATATCATCTCATACATAGACTGCATATATGTATATAGAGAGATTCATTTCAAAAGCCTTTTTGATATTGGATTTCTTTCATCAAGTTGTCTCTATATTTTGGTTATACATGTATAAGCAAGAGGACCCAACAAGTGCTTGTTTTTGCAAATTTTCATACATGTATATCATTCAGTATAAGTCATGCTCACCCCTCAGGCAGATCTGTTAATAAGGCTGCTGTAAGGCACTTCCTTCATTTAGAATTCAGAACTTACTGGTATTTCCTCTGTAAAATACTGACCATCATATACTTCCCGTATTAAACAAAAAAGCTCAGTATTACTGGGGGCATTACACAAACTCATCTAAAAAACACTAATCACCATTAACTCATAAAAATCTCTAGTACAGACACGAAACATACGTTGTGAATTTGTATGTGGTATGGCCACCCTGTGTCTGTTTTTCAAAGGATCTATGTTTCTTGTATTTTAATATTTGTTGTTTATGTAGATCAGATTAGGGTTTATTGAGGGATTATGGGAATATTGTATTCTTTCAATCTTCCTTGTTATATATTTTAGCCATTTAGGGTCATTTTAGTACATACCTTTGCGATATTTGTGTGATGAAACATTTAATCAATCTTATTAGTGCTAAGATGTCGCAGAATCTTATTTTGTTTTGTTTGTTGGTTTATGGTGAAATGTTGAATGGAAAATCCATTTAAATAATTTAGTGAAATCCATTTGGAATTTGGAAGATTGTTTTTGCCAGTATTATGATTTTCTTTTGAGATTTGCAAAAAAGGCCTTTATGTAAGACAATCAGTTAGGGTATTGAAATGAAATGTTGCAAAGGCCTGCATGGTTCCATTATATGCCTTATGTAAAATACACATATACCAAAAAAAAAAAGCTGAATGAAATCCAGAATGCTGCCAATCATAATTGATAAAAAATACAACTTCCAAAATGCAAACTGCCTTAATTTTGAGAATGCAAGTGTGTTTAAAATTTGCCAGGTGTAAATGGCATGTAAGCTGTGCTTTACAGTGTATAAACCTTTATCAGTGTCATCATGTTTGTTCCATTGGTTACAAGACAAGATCGATTTTATGTACTTTTGCTTTTGACAGGGTCGAAGATTTTGGTACTCTTGTATAGTGTACGTATTGCAGTCTTGCCATATGTTAGAATGGTTTGGCCAGTTATATTTTTGGCAGATATTTAACTGTTTGGGTTTTGAACCTCATTTTATTACCCTCTCCCCTATTTAATTACAGTTTAAGCATGATCTCATTTTAATTTTGTTTATGCCCAAATAGTCCCTTTACCCTTTCTTACTAATGTCCAGAGAACAATGAAGGCATTTTTACATGTATTTTTATGTTATTTTGCATTGCTGAAATTTAGGGTCAAGTTTGGGCATTGTATACCAGTACCTCAAGTTGACATGTGATGAAATTCAGACACTTTTGCCCTTTACAATGCTATAAGCTTTTTTTGCTGGAGCTCTTGCATGAAATAAGCTTTTCCTAGAATTATTCAACTGCTAAGTCATTTTATATAGTATAGTTAAAATTTATAGTTAAGTATTTTGACAATATACCAGTAGTGCCAATTTTGGGAACTTTAGATGAAAGTTAAGTTGAAGCATTAGAATCTTGCAGAATGAAATCATTAATGAAACTTTTTTCAAAAATCTTGAAAAATTTTATGTATTTACAACAAAAGTTCAGAAAAGACATGTATTGAATACCTGTGTAAAAATACAGTTGATTGTCCCTAGTGGCTCTGTATGGTCTTTTTAATTTTTTTTCAACTTTTTTTACTTCAAAGGTTTTTTTTTTCCTGGGTAACTTAATTCTCGTATTTGCTTGTATTTGGCTGGATATATTCAGATTTACAACATTTTAATTTTAATTATTTCTCTTTCAATGGATACATTCATTAACCTTTTATATTATTTTTACTGCTGGAAATTTTTGTGCCATAAAGATTGAAAAAGACTATATTTAAAGCAAAATTTATATGCTATTATCATGGCTGTGCGAGATGGATTAAGTATTGATTTACTAAATTGTTGATGTCTGTGAAATCAGCTGTAGCTCTAGAAATAATAATCTCAAGTAGGATTATGATATGCTGCAGAACTGTAGCCCTCAGGGATAGATAATTTGGCCAGACATAATGTCTTTCTGAATTATCTGAGTGAGCTACAGATCTGCAGATAGTTTACGATTCTCTCACAGTTGCAATAGTTTGGAGAGTATCTGATAAGTCTACAGTTAGGTTACTGCAACTAAATCTTCCTGCATATTATTTTTAAAATAGGTTGTGCTTAACTCTTATAATGGAAATTTAAGATTTTTCAGTAAGATTTTTTTCAGATTTTGTCAGTTGAATATATCGATACTGAAATTAACAATGACAGCCGTAGTGTTTTGAAAAGGAGAATTTGGGCTAATTATTTTGTTCACTTGCATGAAAATTGATGTTGGATATTTTAAGACCCAAGTATTTCATCTGCTGAGGGTTGATTCAAAAGAATCATTTTGCAGCAGGCTCTTGCAGTAAAGTCTGTTGATACATGTATTTCAATCTCCATACCACCCCCCCCCCCCCCCAAAAAAAAATTCTAAGAGCTTCAAAAGATCAATACCTGGTATTAGTGGTGCACACACGTTTACATGAACATTCACCTAATCTTTATTTTATCCAGTAATATTTATTTGGATATATGTTTTTTTTTAAGGTTAAGTTGAAAAATTATTAATGGTAAGGGACAGGCAGCAGGTGTAATATTGTAAATAAATAAATATTGCAGGTGATATTAAAAAGCTACTTAAAATTAATTTTTTGATTCTCATCTTTTCCCTTTATATAAATGGTTAGGATAGTGGAATTTCTTTGGAAATTTACTAGAAATTCTTCATAATGAAGAAAAAAATGTTCTGGCAAAGAGAGAAAAGTCGTTGGATGCAGGTTATTTTCTTTATTTTCACACATCTAAATATGAAAATTAAAATGATTATAATTTATTCATACTTTATCCTTTCATGCCTCATTAGAAGGCATTCAGTATAAAATATATACTATTTTTTAACCAGCACAGTTTCAGATTTGAAAGTTCATGCAAATAAAAAAAAAAAAAAAATCAGATATTAAATATTTCAAGTTATTATGAGCCAAGGGGTTCAGAAGTGAGGAAGTCTGAAAATTAATTTTATATGACCTAACTTAATAAACTAACAAAAAAAGGGTTAAGGTTTATCTTAATTTTTGTAGAATGGCCAAAGTTTTTCTCCCGAAATTTCTTTTCTGTGTTGTTAATGATTTTAGTTTTTATCACTTATATAGAAAGCATTATTTTAGAATAAAGTTTAATGTCATACTGAGATACAGTATATTTTATATACATGTATTTTTGTGTCTGTCTGTGGGTTTTTAAAACTGTTATTTTTTGTTGTTGTAACTTATTAGTTTAATGATTCTGTGTTATTCCATACCTCTGTTTTCATGGTGAATCACATTTACATATCACTATGTAAAAGGGATTTTTTTTTTTTAATACTGACCATGTGTTGATGATAGAACACTTATGACTGATGCAATTGTGTGAATAAATATGGAAAATCATCCAAAATCTGTGCATGCTTTCTATCCTAAACTAATGCATTCATTATAAATGTGTGAATTTTTCAAGTCTGTCCCTTCACCAAAAGCTATACTAGACATCCATCTGGGGATGTTTTCCCTTGGATAACACCTAAATGAAGAATCTTGTGTGAAGAATTTGGTTAAACTTACATTCTCACATTTTGAAGAAAAAAAAATATTTAGATGATTGAAACTTGCTTTGCATATGATATGTCACATAAGCATAGACTGTGACCATTTGGAACTGGATGAACTGCATTCTGGAATTGGAACAGACTGAGACCTTGTGATTGCATTGCATGATGGGATTTTGTGAAGATGGTGCAGGGAAGGTCTATTTCACCTGGAGAACTGAACCAGTTAATCAGTTTAACAGAGAACTGGATACAAGTAACAGATTAAAGCTAACATGTATTTCCTTTCTAATGTTTAATGAACATTTCTAGGTTCAAAACTTTTAACTAACAGGTAACCTGGTGTTTGTTGCATGTGTTGTATGTGTTTTGGTATGCATGATTCACGGCACTGTATCTGGGTATAAAGCTTTGGATGAGTGTAGAACTTTATACATATTTTGTAACCTTGGCATAGTATTATCAACAGATTGCCAGGAGTGATTGACTTAACTGCAGAACTGTAAATGACTTGACTGGGATTCTTTTTCAAATCATCTTACAAGCATTGACTTCTCTCAATATCTGAAAATGAGAGCATCTTACCTAGCGAAGATGATTTGATATATATGCAGTCAACTCTTATTATAAAATATCTAGAGTATAAAAAGGTGACAGTTTCTGCAACTGGATGTTTAGTATCTTGTATTTAAACCTACCTGGTATTTACAGTATATTTATAGCATTTTCTGTCATAAGCTATTAACTTATGTAGCTGAATAAGTAGTTCATTATATTTCAAAATAGAATTTTATGTAGTGTAAATGTACTTAGAAATATCAGTCATCATATCAATTATATGAGGCATATGAGCATGATTTTAAATTATAAAAGGGTTTATTGAATCCATTACATCCAATAGCAAGGTTGTATATGTAGACATATTTTCTCTCACTATAGTCTTATTGGACTACATGTAAGTAAGATCGAAGGGAATTCTAATCCAGAAACATAAGAAATGAAGTTTCAAATAAAGAAGGGTTATTATAATATTTACAAGTTTTAAGTTAATGTGATATAAAATAGCCAGGTTGTGCTAGCTGAAAAGTTGAATTATTCTTTTGATAATTCCAGGGAGAAAACATCAAAATAAAAAAAATATACAATTTCAGTCATATAACTCATTGAAGGCAGTAGTGTACTAGTAATTATATTTTGAAAAAGAAATCATTTTCACTGGTTATAAGCACTATTAATAATTTGTATAAATGTAAAATTTAAAACGACAAAGATCAATATTATTATTTTATCATTAGTGTTTGAAAGCCTTTTTTTTAATTGGTAAGCACAATACTATATTCTCCCTTTTAAATGCCTCTGCCCCTGTAAGTGCCCCCTGAAGTATTTGCCCATTGTCATAGAATTAAGACCCACCCTCCCTGCATTACCTTTACTTATATAAGTGTCCATATCTGAAAGTCCTACCTTCAAATCCAATAGAAAATTGGTATGTCCAATAAAATTGACCATGACATCAGTCTTTGTGACTGGAGTGAGTCAGATTGACACAAATCAAGAAGATTTCGTCATGTTAAAAATCATTTAATGCTCTGGACTAGAGTGTAAAAATTTTCACAGAAAGGATTCCATTATAAATACAAAATATCCACCCCCCTTTTTGCAATTTTCATAGCACATGGGGCACTTAATAGGGAGAATACAGTATTTCTCTTGACTTCAAAAATCTACAATACTTGCTAAAAAGATTAGAAAAGTTCTATTGTAAAAAGATTTTTGTGAATGGTTTCTAATTAAAATATTAAAACTTTTTGGTATGGGTTACTTGAATTCTCTTTTGAGAATTTCAGTGCATTTATGATCACAAATTATTTGGAGAAAAGATAAGTATTCTAGAAAAGTTGTTTTGATATGATATGTTGTGGGGTTTTCTTTGTTTAAAAAGCATGCATTTTGTCTGTTTGAAAACTTACCGATTAGTGTTAAACAAAATGTGTTTTAAGTTTAAGCTTGATATTTGTGTAATCATTCATTATTTTGTTTAGGTAATATATTTGCAGACGTATATTAGAAAGTATGAATGCATGCTTTTAGAATACTTTTCAGATGAAGTAATTTGAAAGAAATACTTTATTTTGTTCTTGATAATGTTGAGTTTGAAATATATTTTTTTATTTTTAAAAATTTATAAATATATTTAGACCATTTTCATTTAAATACTTGAATGATTACCAAACCATTTTTACGATTGCACCATTTTCTCTCTGCAGAAAAGACGTAGAAGAAAACTCCCACGGAGGCCTAGTTAATGGCGAGTATATAAACTTGGAGTCTGCTGTGACCCACCTCTAGCCCACACACTTGTCTCTCAACTTACAACTTCAAGTCATCTACAACTCAACCAAATTAATCCCACTTTGTACAGTAACTGAACACACAAGAATTTATCTGTGATCTTCTGCACAATTTATGTGTGCACATTTTTTATAAAAGACCATTTAGGCATATAAATACCATATTATTTTTGGTATAATATGTGAGGGAGGCCCTGTAATAGGCTCGTAGTGGTTCAGCAGGCCCTGCACCTTAGCTTGTGTTGTGTTTTTTTTTTCCAAGACTTGGGACGTATGATGCTGCTTTGCATAGTCAAGTTCATATCTGGTGCTAGTGATTATATATCAGCTGTTTTAATGTTAGTGCATATTTCATTTAACCTTATTAATTTTCCATATCTGATGTATTAGTTTAGCACACCTTTTTTTTGAGAGAAAATTTGTTATTTTATTCCTTGTATTGTCAGTGTTTTATTACAATTGCCAATTTTATCCATTAATAAAGATTTTAAAATATTCGTTGTATACATGTTGTAATCAGAGTTTAACAATCATTGAAGACCATATCAAAATTCTATGCACATATTTCCTATAATAACTTTTTGACGTGTGTATATATCTAATACTCAGGTAAATATATCACCATAGATGCCACAATCAATTGGCAGTATGGTTTTTCATCCTGGAAATATTCCTTCTTTTTATTTAAGCCCATTTGCCTTTGTTTATACAGGCATTTCTCTTTTTTTTATTATTTTTTTTTTATAAGTAAAGGATGCAATTTTTCTCTTTGCAAGTGGGCACAAATGAAATTATAAGAAATTTTCCAGGATACCATATGATGTTATGGTTTATAATCAATCTTCTTGAAAATTCATCAAGTCCGTTTATTAAAACTCATTCTGTATAATGAAGAAGGTGAATCAGATTTTATATAATACAGTGTATATATATATATATATATATATGCTAGATTTTTATCCAAATTAGATAACACAATCAATCCATTTTGATTCCTCTTGGACTTAACAAGTACTGAAGATTGGTTGTACTTGGCATTATATATCATGGTACCACTTAGATTTTGTTGTTTCATTTATTGCAGCAATAGTTTGCTCTTGTATGTTTCGCTTTGATGTTAGGCTTAGATGTATCTCGGCTTGAGATTTTCAAGCTTCAGAGCATTCACCCACCATTAAAGCGTGAAACATGCAGGAATGATGCAATACAGCTATTGCTGTAATTGTTGAAATGGCAGTACCAAGGTTGTACTGTGATAAGGGTATCTGCAGGTGATATTGTTCCCTCGGAACATGTTTTACAGGTATTAGTATTTGGTTGAATCAATGGGATGATGACCTTACCCAATTTTATTGGCAAATTGCTTTTTAAGCAGACTTAAATAGTTGTCAAAGAAAGTTACATTTGCAGTTATTTTACAATTTTATGGAAATCTGTGGTCTTGTTCCACAAACATTAAATAATTTTCAGAGATTTCTCACTATCCATGCATTTATAATCAGTTAGCTTATATATATTGTAGTTTTATTATAGTGCTGGATTGGTGCTCTCACGTAAGTTATTTCACTGACAATAAATGACCATAATATTAGGGTAAAAATTACTAATTGTTTGAATTTGTGATTATAAATCACAGAAAAGTCATCTATATCAGTAAACAGCACTAAATGTGCAATTTGTTACAAAAATCTGACATATAATCCCAAGAACTGTATTTTCTATGATAGAAATATTCGAGTTTAAGAAGGTATGAAGTTGAAGGGTTTCAAAATTCAACAGCAATAGAATGCACTATGAGAAATAGTTACAAATGAATTCTTTTCAGTTACATGAATGGAATTTGTTTCAAAGAATAAAAACGAGAATTCATCTATCCAAGTTATCATAGCTTACTTTTATAAAAATAGGAGTTTCAGTATAATTATCTAGCACATGGAGAGAAATACATAATGTTTTCACATTTTTAGCCCTACTGGTCATTGACTAGAAGAGCTTATGCAATAGTAACGTGTCTGTTGTCCGCCTGTCTGTCCATAAACAATTTCTCAAAACACTACCTCTCCTAGTTTTGGTCTGATTTCAATATAACTTGGCACAGAAGTAGACTACACTAAGATGCATAATCCGGTACATCGGTTTTTAATTTTGATGAACCATGTTGCCATGGTTACTAAAAAGTAGAAATTTATGTGAAATTCCTATTAAATGCTACTCCTCCTACAGTTCTGGTCTGATTTCAATATAACTTGGCAAAGAAATAGACTACACTAAGATACATAATTTAGTATGAGAGTTTGATTTTGATGAACAATTTTGCCATGATTACTAAAAAATAGAAATTTCTGTGAAATTTCTTTAAAATGCTACTCCTCCTACAGTTTTGGTCTGATTTCAATATAACTTGGCACACAAGTACACTACACTAATTAAGATACATAATTAAGTGCATCAGTTTTTGATGAATGATGTTGCCATGGTTACTAAAAATAGAAATTTCTCTAAAACACTTTTCCTCTTACAGTTTTGGTCTGATTTCATCTAATTTATTACACAAGTAGACTATAATAAGAAACATAATATAGTGCATCGGTTTTTGATTTTGATGAATGGTGTTGCCGTGGTTAAAAATGGAATTCCTTTAAAATGATACTTCTCCTACAGATTTGGTCTGATTTCAATATAATTTTGCACACAAGTAGACTACTCTAATATACATAAATAGTGCATCAGTTTTTGATTTTGATGAACGGTGTTGCCAAGGTTGCTAAAAATAGAAATTTCTGTGAAATATTTTCCAAATGCTACTCCTCATACAGTTTTGTTCTGATTTCAGTATAACTTGGTACAAGGTAGATAATACTTAGATACATAATTCCTTGCATGGGTTTTTGAACAGTGTTGCCATGGTTTCTAAAAAAAATAGGAATTTCTTTGAATCTTTCAAAATGCAACTTCTCCTACAGTTTTGGTCTGATTTCAGTATATCTTGGCACACAAGTAGACTACACTGAGATACATAATTTTATATCAGTTTTTGATTTTGATGAATGGTCATGTCATGGTCACTAAAAATAGAAATTTCTCTGAAATACTTCCAAAGGACTACTCCTCCAACAGTTTTAATCTGATTGCAATAAATCTTGCCACAAAGAGACTAAACCAAGGAACCGTTATTCTATTTATTGCTGTTGCATAGTTCAAGTAAAAGTGCTAATTTTCTCTTCCTTTGTTATAAATACAAACCAATAGAGCTACAGTCTCATCAGAGACTTTTTTTTTTTTAAAGTAAAATAACATCTATTCAAATAAGTTGAACCTGAGGAAAATGTTACAATTCAGTTTCAGGTACAATCAGTGAAAGTAAATGGTCAGAGAGAAAAAAAAGTTCACAAAACAATTGGAACTTTTTATTTAATCAGTTTTTATTTTATTTTGTTTTGTTTTTTGTTTAGTGTTTTTTTTTTTTTTTTGGGGGGGGGGGGGGGGTTGTTTATTGGTCTTCATCTTTAGTAAATGATAAACACCTTTAAGATATAAAAGTATCACCTGGAGATAACTGGGGGTATCAGTAGTTTAGTTTATTATATTTACAGGTGGAAGTAGAGGGGAAGAAAGGCAAATGAAAAAAAAAATGAATTATCATATATGTAAAGTAGAATTAGTACATGTAGTGAAAAGACTTGCAGGAGAAACTGAAAGATTTGATCAGAAAAAGGAAAAATTAAGAAGACAAAGGAAAATTATATACATATATATACCTTGCATTTTGAATTCAGTTTCCTGTTTTCAAAATTGAATGAAACATTTGAAAACTGGGTTATTTAATAATCTGCAGAAACCTAGAAACTACCAAACACACTCATAATACAAAACAAATTAGGTATTACATTTTGTATTGGGATGCTTAAATTTATGAATTCCTTTGTTGTGGCAATTTTAAGAAAGAATGAGCTTGTATATAATAGTTATGATTAGAAGTAAAGATAATTGATGTCTGTCATGATCTTTGAAATGTTCACTTAAAGATTGGCTTTAAATATGGAGATATTAGTACAGATTGTGGTTGTCAAAAGCAGGCTTTTAAAATTGAAAATTTAAATTTAAATATATAACTATGTTTTACTGTATAAGCTAATTATAATAAAACATGTATGTTTTACTGCAAATGATCAAAAATGAAACTGATTATTTAAAAAATAAAGTATAGGAGAATTGTTTATTAAATTCAAATCATACCAAATTTATTAATAAAAACTATTATATGACATGATTATTTTTACCATTTTTGTACTTTCAGCAAGAGGACGGCGGCCGCGACGTCAGGTGCTGATAGAGTCCTCCATCTAGTCACTCAGGAATTTTATCTATCATTTGTCATATATTAATAAATTTAATTTGTGAATTTTCAAATGTCAATTGAATTCAATTTTAAATGCATGTCTTATAAGTTCCTGCTTTATATTAAGGTATTAAATATAACAAGTATAGTTTGATGTAAAAAGAAATAAATAATTGTATGTATATACAGAATAGACAAATTATAAATATATGAATTGTTCAAGCATGTAATTAAATTTTATGGAAGGGATATTTGAATTTGTGTTTTCTTTGTTGTATATACAAGAGAAATATGCCAGAGTAGCTGTAGCTTGATCTGACTTGTTTTGAAGAAGGATAATTATAAGACAACTATGTGTGTTTGGGAAAGTGATACAGATATACCTGGTATTGCATATTTCAGAAATAAATCAATTGCAATAAATAAAATGCAAAGTTGACCATAAAATAACAAGGAAAAGATGAAATTTGAAGTAAGCATTATATCTTTTTAGTTACCCTCACTAACCAAACTTGCAAAGGAAAAAAGAATGAACTTATAATGTATGATCTTGAAACTGCAGGCCAGAAGGAAGCAATTTCATTGGGGGGGGGGGGGGGGCACAGACAAACATTTTTCAGTTGATAGTTAAGGGGGCACTACCAAAAATTTCCTGTCAAGCAGAAAAAAAGGTCATCAGACATTTTTGTTTTGTTGAGGGAGCACAAGCATATGGTATCTGTGTTTACTATACTAATCTATATAACGGCAAAATTATTGGATCCCCCCCCCCCCCAGTTCCTACGGCCATGAACTGTGAATATTTTGGGCTTCTCAATCTATATATTTTGATAGAAGCGTTTTTGACTTTTTTCCCAGAATGTTGAAAAAATTTTTAGCACTTACTGGTATTTGATTTTTCAGTGGTTTAAACTGAGAAATTTATAGTTTATGTCATATTGTAGCATTTATGAAGTGATTTTTGTGTAAACTGTATTTATGCAGGGACCTTAATATAAAGGTTTTTAATTAGTCATTTTATAAGGTATACTCGGATGTATAGTTGAGAAATATGCCTTTCTATTCGGTTTTTTTTCCACAATTATGACCCCTATGAGCTTCCATAACCTGTGCTCCAGGTAAACATACATTGCGCATGCCCCAGGTGTGACTCAAACTTCGAAGTTTTTTTAACGGAAGTGAAGGTAAAGTAAATCGGAAGATGCTATAAACAAGAATATTTTACCATGAAGGAGAAAGAAATAGATAAGGATACGGTTATTGCGTATCATGACTTTGTCCAGCATCAAATCAGGGGAGAATTAAATGGCATCTTCCTGGGACCAGGGCGATTTTACGCCCAGATCGCGGTGGCTAGTTTTCTTGCTGGAGTCATTTCCGCTATTGTTGGAATTCTAGTGATAACGCTACGAACTCGTCATGTATACCTCATTTCTTGGGATGATCAGTTCCTTGGACCATTTTTCGTAATCCTTGCATTTATGCTAGCAGGATTTGCCGCAGCCCTGGTTGTGCAGGCCAAAAGACGAGCCAATGCCTATAGACGCGATCTAGTGGTAAGTTTATAACCATATACACAGAGGGAATGGTAAAGTATCTTTGAGACTACTTACTGCAGATCATTTTGATGAGAATGAATGCAAAGGTTATGGATGTCCATTGATTCTATAATCAGTTAATTTATATTTTTCAGTTCCGTCCCATCGGTGACTATGGTGTTGCAGTGTGCCACAAGAGCAGGCTCGTTTTCGAACAAACTACAAGGTAGACCTAAAATCAGAGTAATAGCCTTTCTTAACAATGTGGCCTGCTAATAGACTAAATTGTGTATTATTATAGCAAGAATAATTGAACTGTGTCGTAAGACAAGAGAAGCCTTCCCTTTAAACCAGGTCTGTAGAACAAAGTAATTTTTATATACAGAACATATTAAATTATTGGCTACTGTGGGTAGGTGCACTTGTTTTCTATCTTATTATATTAAGAAATATTCCATGTGAAGGTGCACATTGAATGTCTCTATCCGCAGTGGCGGATTTAAGAGGGGTGCACCCGGCGCCCCCCCCCCCCCCAAATTGTTAAAGTTGGCGTAAATCATCCTTTCGTTGAGAAAATGTAAAAATGTCTACTCGGGAGACCTCATTTTTACCCTACAAAATCTCTAGAAACCAGGACCTTATGGGGGCTTTGCCCCTTGGACCCCCTCAAGATGGCCCCAGACCCCCTGCCTACTTTTGGCACCCCCTCTAACTTCAATTCCTGGATCTGCACCTGATCATTTGCAGATCCAGGAATTTTTTCCAAGGGTCTAGCTAGCCCAGTCAAAGAAAATTTGTCACCCAAAAATTTCTTTGACAAGCAAAAAAAAAAAAAATCCATTTCCCAAAACGTTAAAAACACCTATTTCCTGGTGGTGATGGTGGGGTTCACGTTTTCTAGGGGGGTCCAAAGTCATTTTTTATTTGTGTCAGTATATACTTTTAATAACTGCAAATTGCAGGGGGGTCCGGACCCCCCAACCCCCCCTCTAGATCTGCACATGTCAAGTTATTTCTATCAAGTCCTTCAGTATCTATGTTGAAACCAACACATTAACACAAGTCTTGTGTTAGTGCATATCTGGTTTGGTCATGGATATTCTACCGCATTTCATGATATACAATGTAGACCTAATATACCCAACATAGTGAGGAGTTAAATAGGCATCTTTACCTACTGTCCAACCCCTTTCCATTTGGAAATGAATATTATTTACCAGTAAATTAAATAAAAATTAGACCCAATATAGAAATTCTTATTAAGCTTTGTCAGTTAGAAAATTCTGTTGATTTACTTTTATATATTCATCAACCTAAATCTATATGTTTAAAATATAGAAACTAAGTTGCCTCATTAATGGAAACATTTTTTGAGTATTTTGTAAGTTTTAAAACTTTTTTTTAGGGAACAGCTGAAATCTGGTACAGCTCCAAAGAAACCAACAAAAGCAAAACCCTACCAGGTATTTACCTACAGTACAAACAGAATTATATACAATTTTTATTTAAAATGTTCTTATGGTTTGTTTCATACAACTGCCTCAAGGATAGAATATAGTTTCACAAATGTTTATGATATTTGGCAATGGGTGTATCATTATATGACAATGTGGTGTATACCTTCACAACCCACGTAAGTGATCTCCAGACTCAGAGTCGTATTGTTTTCGAGGAATAAGAGTTCCATGCAATTTTTTTCTATCTTTTATCTTCTGATATTTGAAATGTGGATTTGTAATTTTTTTCTGTGTTTTGCAGCCTATATCATACACCACCGATGGAAGGCCACGAAGGGGTCCAGGTCCTCGTCCAGGTGGGGTAGATAACAGGGGCTATGGAGAACCTCCTCCATATGATGGAAGACGAGGTCCTTCTGATGGCAGGAGACCTCCTCCTGATCGTAGAGGTCCCTCAGGCCGTCCTAGGAATGGTCCACCAGATGATAGAAGAAGATATGGACCTCCTCGAGGAGAAGAGGGCCGTCCACCTCCTTATGGATTCAGGGATCCAGGAGCTAGGAGACCTCCTCCTGATGATCGATACAGAGATGGTCCTCCCAGGGAAAGAAGAGGACCCCCACCTAATGACAGATACAGGGATGGTCCACCCCCTAATGACAGATATAGGGACGGTCCACCCCCTGATGACAGATACAGAGATGGTCCACCCCCTGATGATAGATACAGAGGCCCCCCACCTGATGACAGGTAGAATCTTATTTAAACTGGGAAACAATTAAGCTCTTCCTATATAGTGAAATACTGATTGTTTAAATAGAGTGTCAACTCTGAACAGATGATTGGGACTTCCAACACACTTGAACATAGCCATGGTATTTGAGATGTCAAAGTACAAAATACCAAAGCTACATCTCCTTTTTATGTTACTGTCAAGTTTAGTTCATTTTACATGAATATCAAAATTGTTTAAATAGTGAGATTTTTAGGCAATGTAAAGGTCACTTTTCTATTTTAACAATGATTTTGGTTCACCAGTCTTGTGTTTTTTTACACTCTGACATTGGAAAGCCACCCTGTTGCTGGGTTAAAAAAGACATATATCTGAACTATTATTGTTTTTGCTTAACAGGTATGCTGAGATGGACAGAAACAGACGGCGACCTCCAGATGATAGGTATGTGTTTGTTTTAAATAGGAAGAGTACACTAGTGGGTGTTTATTTTCTTGGTAGAAATGTCTTACACAGTACCTATAGGCCTAAGTTAAGAATGACCATTTACAGTTCAAAATTTTGTTGGACAATCGTATTAAAATGATTTCTGATTTGTTTTCAAATTATATTTTGTTATCAAAATACATTAATTATTAGCTGACTTCAATATATATATTGACTTATATGCTTTCTCAATTTTCTTCCCCCAGGAACATGCCCAAAACAAAACTTGAAGACATGCACGAAGGAGATGAATCTTCGTTCTAAGCATTCCTAGTTTCTACATTCTCCATTCATCATGTATTCTGTGCCATTATTCCATCATATAGCCTGGATCAACTTCAGCATCGTATCAACTTTACAGTTTCTACACAGATCACTATAATCTTGAAAGAATTTTATTCATGTCAAAAGTGGCTATATTGTAGGGAAGCATAAACACATATTTATCTTTAGAGTATTTGAAAGTGATCAATATATAAATGTACAAGTTAGGATCTGAACTCTGATTGTTATTTTTGAGTAAGGTGAGTGGCAACATTTTAACATTTTGAGTAACATTCCTGTCACATAAATCATTATGTACATTCATTTCAATATAGTAGGGAATTATATTTTGATATTTTATAATATGAACTTTATACTGTATTTTATGTAATTTTATGCAATGTATATAAGAATGGACAACCTTTACTCCTAAAATAAATTTTATAAATACCAGAATATTCCTTTGTAATTAAGAGTCTTATGGGGATACAGTAAAACATGCTTATAATGAACACACAATAAATTCAAGCTTACAGTGATTTTCCTTCCCCATGGATTAAGACAGAGACATTGTGAACTAATCAAAATCTATAATCAATACATGTATAATGAAGCAAAAATGGTACATCCCTGGCACTTCACTATAGCATGTACGTTCTGCTATATTCGTATACCAGAAGAATTTCTCAAGCACTTTATAGCTTTGAATTTAATTATATTTCAAAAGAGAACATAAAGTCTGAATAATTCAGAGGAAAATATATTGAGTTATTTTATTGAAGAATAAATTTTCAAATGTATAATCGGAAATTTTATCAAAAAACTATTGTACAATTGTAGAAGTTTTAGGTTCGAAGCATCCACAGAGTTCTGGGTGGAACACAGTCCCAAAGGAGCAAGCTTTGTAATTTACTATGTTGTTGACAAAGAAGGCAAACTTGTCTACAGAAGAAGTAGCATACAGCTTACAACCTGTAACAGAATAAAGCAAAATGTACATCTTGTCTATCGTAGAGTAAAACTGCATTTATTTCCTTAGTAAACAGCTTAATCCCCCCTTTCAAGAATTTTCATGATGGCTTGATTTGTCTAAGTTTTTTTTTCATTTGTTCCCATTTTTTAACAGAAGATTAAAGGAAATGGGAAAATCATTTTTGGCTTGGTAAATATTAGTTGAAACCAGAACTCACCAAAAATAAAATCGGAGCATGAACATGTCTGTGCACTGTATGCTGTGCCTTTAGCACAATTCATAACAATCCACAGGCCACTGGGATGTAGAGACTCATAGAAGTTGAGGCCAGGTATTCCCCTTATATAGGTACAAGGATCTACAAATTAATTTGATATATCCATGTTATTTTTGTCTACAATAAAAAAAATTAGTCCAGTCAATTTAGCAAAAATATGGGTATTAAAGGTTGTACTGCACCTATGAATGTTGTAATAAATAGTTTGAGACACTTCATGTAGAAAAATGCACCACCATTTACTAAATTGACAAGAGTTATGCCCCTTTCCCATAGAGTAATTTTCATAGAAAATTTATAAACCCCAGATAATGCTTTCCTTTCATATGATTTTGTTATAATTTTATTACATTTATTTTGTGCATTCAAAAGTTTATTCATAACAAAACAAATTGTGTGTAAAGAATATACAATTCGTAATATGGGAATTTAAATAAGGGTTGGAATTTACAGTGAAACAGGTGTCAGAATAGACAGTTTTCACCGCATGTATAAATACATAGAGAAAAAGTAAATTCATAAAAGATTGATCTGCTTCAAAATAAAGCCAACATTTCCTTAACTTCCCTGCTGACAAATACTTACAGGACAACCAATGTCTGCAATAGAACAAATAATGAAAAAAGATACTATCAGGTACAGCACTGTTTTTCAATGTGCATGTGGGGGGAGGGGGGGGGGCAAAAATGTCTAGGAAAAAAACTGAGACGAGCAAAAAGAAACAACAAGAATTCTGTGAGCCAATGCTCATTAGTAATACCCCTGCTCTGATGTGAACAAATGCTCTCATGAATTCCACCATATGGCATGCCTAAACAAAGAGTGTGCTAAAATTTCAAGCATCAGCAATGAGTAGTTGCTGAGAAAACTGCGACGAAATTTTGACACGGACAGACACTGAAAAACAGGAAGTTGACATCATATTTGTACAAAAATAAATTCCACCATATGGCATGCATAGACAAAGAGTTTGTTAAATTTTCAAGCATCAGCAATGAGTAGTTGCTGAGAAAACTGACGAAAATTTGGTACATATAGATGCATGGAAAAACAAAAAGTTGACATCAGATTTGTACACAAATGAATCCCACCATATGGCATGCCTAGACAAAGAGTGTGCTAAAATTTCAAGCATCTGCGAAGAGTAGTTGCTGAGAAAACTGTGACAAAAATTTGTTATGGACAGACAGACACACAAAGGTAAAACAGTATACCCCCTCTCCTTTGGAGAGGGGGTATAAAAAAGAATTACAATTAAAAGGGTTTTTTTTTGGGGGGGGGAGGGGGCAAAAAGTCTCTTTACAGTATACTCACTAACAGCTGCCCAGCCTGGTGCTGCAATCATCAACAGTATTAATCCAAGTTTATGCATTGTGAGTTAAATATTATTGTGAACTAGTAAACACAAATTTGTATATATATATATATCTTTCCAGTTTGATTTCTAACGTCATGAACCACCTGTATGCATACTATATGTGATTGTTTTCAACATATTTATTAGAAATTCTACATTAATTAACTCTATGTGATGATAAGATTGAGTGAAAACTTTATTTAGCAATAAAATTCTGGAACTGATAAAAGTCACAAACTTTGCCTACAGTGTACCATCTGTTGTTTATGTTTAAATACAGGTGCGTATCAAGGCAGATGGCCAGTGTTACCCTAATAAATAAAATTCTTAATTATTATAAACCATCTTACAAATATCAAGAGGCTATGGGATAAATTCTAGAAGCAAATGTTTTCCTTTATTTTAAGCTCATCTGAGCTTTTTTGTTTCTTCTCAAGGGAACATGAACTTCTGATTAAAGTGTTTCTGTTGTCTTTCAGTTTATAATCAATTTTCCATATTTTGCCTTCTTGATTTCAAACCATTTGGGAAACTTCAACCAAATTTGGCAAAGACATCTTTGAATAAGGGGAATTTAAATTTATACGAATGAAAGTAACATTTTTCTTTCTATGAAAAGAACAATTGAAAATAGAGCTTGTCAAAAAACCTCTAGAACCAGGGGACCAGCAATTACGATATCTGGGTTAACACACACACACATTCCCTTTATGTAAAACTTTCAATAACCTATTATGGCCTCAAATGGTCCCTGGGGACATTATTTTATTAACTTGAAACTACGCAATATGTTGTGACCAACTCCTTGGTTCATAGATTTGTTCAAATCAACAGATCCTATATTTTTTTTCCCAAAAATATCTTCATGTGAAAGGGGTTGCAGCCCCTTACCTGAGGAAGTTAAGTATCCTTTACTGAAGAATGTTCTGTGCTTATGTTTGGTTAAATTTGGTGCAGTGATTCTTCGAAAGAAGTAAAAAAAAAAAAAAAAAGAAATGTTATTTAACGGACAGATGTACAACTTAACAGCTTTGGTCAGAAAAGCTAATTGGAGCTTCAGTTCAGGCAAGCTTGAAATCTCTTTAAGAAGAAAATACTCATTACACTGTGGCCCCAAGCCCTAGCTTGGAGTCACAATAGAAAAATATTTAACAAATGAATAAAAAATCTCAAATACAGCAGGACCATAGTGAGTCAAGAAGTAAAGTAAGCTGTTTTTTTTTTGGGGGGGGGGGGGGTTGACAGCATAATTTGAAATTTTGAAATTATTCAGTCTTGTGATAATGGCTGTTTCAATTAAAAATCAATTAAAGATATTATTTTACTTCTTAACTCATAAAAAGGTTCCAATGTCCAAGTTTCCTCAATTTTTACGTGTTTTTCATCAAGTTTAAATTACATATTGTTTCAGAAAACTCAGAGAACATCTATCTACCAGATTTCCACTATTTCTTCACCATTACATATCTCTTGCAAAAGATAAGGATCAATTATTATTTGACTCCTTCTAATTTTCATGGACATAAAATTCTACTAAAATATGCAATTGCATATTAAATTTTCTCCCCTAGCAACAGAGCACTGCCATTTAGCCAAACAAAACATTCTAGGATGTCTTTGACAAGGTTGATAAAAACTAACCTATTCACAGAAAATGTGAACTTAAACAAAAATTAACAGAAGCGAAGTCCTCTAAAGACTTCTGTTAAATAAATTTTGCTTGATCTTTCAGCTTAGGTGAATGAATAAAAAGCCAACATAGCATTCCATTCATTTATACATGTACATGTACTAAAATCATTTGACATAAATCATGCACATGAGTGTAAAAATAAATATACAATGTATACTAAATAACATATTATATACATATACATAAACATTATTGATTCTTTAAAAAATAACTTCTTATGCAAAAATTCCATGCTGTAGCAAAATGTTTTCTAATAATGAAATGCTAAACACAAACAGTTTCATCAGTTTTGAGAAATGAGTGAAACAGCAACATGCTGTAAGATACTGAATGTTTATAGTCAGGTCTCATACCGTGACCTCCCAGATAAATATTTCTGAATGAGAAACAGAAAACAGGTGCCTTGAATCCTGGGAAAATTGTAGAAAATTGACGGAGTCACAATGGCCCACGAAATCCTGGAAGCTACCTTCATAATAATCTATCAACTTGACCAGGCGCTCTAAAATGGAAGAAATTGTCAGATTTGTTACAAGTGTCCAACAGCTGAAATGGAAATATTATCTATCTGAACATCTAAAATTAATATTATTGACAGGCTGTAAGTTTCTTTTCAAATATTTTTGAAAGTATTTTATAAATATAACTCATATTAGTGACAAGAAATACCAGTACATATACAACAATAGCTGGTGATACATTACTTTGAATTTATTTCATATCTCATGATTGTATATTTAATACATATACTTGAATATCAAAAAGCTAATTGTCATGTTTTTTCTGTATCGGCATTCAATTGAAATACTTGGTAGGTGGACTTTTCATATGTACATGTAAATGAAAGGAAAATAAAATTTCTAGCCCCCAAAATTAATTAAGAGATTATACGAGACAAAATTCACTAGTTTTTATCAAAAATATGGAGAAACTTTCCCAAACTACCTACCGTTAACTCCTACTGCTATTAAAGGTGTTCCCTCAGCTATGTCCAGAGAGTTTGGCCAGTGGGTCAAAGGTGCTGTCCTTATCACCTGTTCAAAGGAGGGGGAAAACTATCACAAACCTTCATTTCAATACAGACCTCTCCTATATGGTCACTTTAGTTGAAAGTAAGTTAGATTGATTTTTATGCCCCCGGATCGAAAGATCCCGGGGGTATATTGTTTTTGTCCTGTCTGTCTGTTTGTCTGTTTATCTGTTTGTCTGTTTGTCCGTTTGTCTGTTGTCAACTTTAACCTTGCCCATAACTTTTGATTGGTTGGAGCTATGACTTTCATATTTCACAAGTGTATTCCTTGTGACAAGACCTTTCTTTGGGTACCATCATATTTGACCTTTTGACCTTGACCTTGGAGTTTGACCCACTTTTGCAAAATTTTATGAGACTTTAACCTTGGCCATAACTTCTGAACAGTTGGTGCTTGGGGTTTCAAACTTCACATGTGTATTCTTTGTGACAAGGCCTTCCTTTGGATACCAACAACTTTGACCTTTTGACCTTGACCTTGGAGTTTGACCTACTTTTGAAAAACTTTAACCTTTGCCATAACTTTTGAATGGTTGGAGCTAGGGCTTTCATACTTCACATATGTAATCCTTGCGACAAGACCTTCCTTTGGATACCAGCCACCACTTTGACCTTTTGACCTTGACCTAGGAGTTTGACCTTTTTTGAAAAACTTTAACCTTGGCCATAACTTTTGAATGGTTGAAGCTAGGGCTTTCATACTTCACATATGTAATCCTTGTGACAAGACCTTCCTTTGGATACCAACCACTTTGACCCTTTGACCTTGACCTAGGAGTTTGACCTACTTTTGAAAAACTTTAACCTTGGCCATAACTTTTGAATGGTTGGTGCTAGGGCCTTCATACTTCACATATGTAATCCTTGTGACAAGATCTTCCTTTGGATACCAACCACTTTGACCTTGACCTTGATGTTTGACTTTTATTTAAAAAACTTAAACCTTCGCCATAACTTTTGAACAGTTGTATCTAGGTCTTTCAAATTTCACAGGTGTATTCCTCGAGACAAGACCTTTCTTTGGGTATCAACATTTTTTATCTTTTGGCCTGGATTTTGACTTGCATTTGAAGAAACTTTAACCTTCGCCATAAGCTGCCATACGGGGGCATCAGTGTTTCACTATCACATCTTGTAATTTCACTGAACAAACCTTTCTTTGTGATAAGCTGTAAAACTGAATACATTTCTGCATTCCATAGCCCACATAAACCAGTACATCATCTTCTTCTGTTGAGAATTTAGCTAAGGATGGTGGCAGTTTTTCACAGGACTTCTGTATAATGTAAAAATTTATTTTATTCATTATGAAGGGAAATCCTCCATTGATTTTGTCAATATTGCTGCCCTCCTTCAATCACGTTAAAGTATATGCACTTTACCTTGTCTTTATTGGACACCACTGATCCATCAGGCATAAATGCTGGGGCAGAGAATGTCAGCCAGTCAACAAGCTCACAGAAATCCTTGGTCCAATCAGACGACCAGACACTGACACGCCTATCAGCACTGGTAGCCAACCACAGGTATGGGACAGACACAGGGGAATCCACCTCCTATAACAATATAACGATCTTAGGCAGGTTCAACTAAATGCGTTAGCATAGCTTATGGTAGTGCAAAGATTTTATTCCTTGAAAAGATTTAATACTGACCTGCCTAGTAGTGACATCTATGTTTGTGATAGGTGCCCCCTTGTGGTCACTGATGACCCTAACAGTCATTCCAGTGGTGGGACTACTTACAGCAATCAAGCCATCACTTCCTCCAGAAATTATCATTCTCCCTGCAACAAACAAAGCACCATACCTCAGTACTGTTAAAAAATCGGAAACTTATTGTATCCAACTTTCCTTCACCTATGACTAATTTCTCTTAAGTTTTGCAAGGATGAAAATATTGCAAATACAAATGTATGTCTTCTTAAACCCATACAGAACTTCAGTGTTTATATTCTGTACGCATAGTAATTATACAGAATTAATAAACCAATGCAGATGTGTTCAAATGACAAGGAAAGAAAATAGTCCAGATGTCATATTGCTTTAACATCGTACTTTTCATCTAAAAGAGTCTGAAAGACTTTGAAGCAATGACTTTGGATTAACTTACCCTCAGAGGAGAAACTGATAGCAGTAACAGAGACAGCATGAGGATGCATCTTAAGGACCATCTCCTCTTTATTGATGTCAAACATCCTGACTGTGCCGTCACTGTATCCTGCCACCACTAAAGGCAAGATCACTTTGCTCTTTTCATCATCTTCTGCAGGAATCTCTCCAGGAGCAAATGCTAAACAGGTACATTTCTAAAAAACCAATAGACTTCAAGTTATTAAAGCAAAAGATAAAACAACATAATTTTGGAAATTCTTAGTTTTCAAATTGCTTTATTTTTATATAAAAAGGTGTTGAGTTTATTTGTTCCTACCTGGTTTAGGACCTGAAACTGGAGGGCTTGCTCTCTACTGCCAACACTCCACAGTCTGAGTGTTCCATCATCAGAACAGGAGGCCAAGTGTTCGCTCCCAAAGCTTGACAAACTGTTTATCTAAGACAATTCACATTGATGCAAATCAGACAATCATGTGATTAAATCATATAAAAAGAATGGCTACACAGAATTACTGAATAATGACAAGAAGCAATATTAGAACATTTAAACTCTTTCTACCTTTTGTACATGACTTGAGACGAGCCTGATGCTCTCCCTCTCAGGCCAGTTAATATACCACAGAGTTCCAGAGCTTGTTCCCACAATGCCCTGCAAATACAGAGTTAAAATATTCATAATCTCTCAAAATGACAATCCTGAAACCTTATTACTCAGCAGTTTCCAGTGAAATGTTTGACTTAAAGAGTTACAATAAACTGACCATATCAAGAGCTTCATCAAAAGATGCTGCCACCACTGAGCCATCAAGGTTCATTTCGTCTTCCATAGTCAGACCACCACTGGGCACATTCGGACCATCCCCTGTCCTCATATCACTGACCCCAGTCAAGGACCAAATTCGAAGATTCTTACCCACGCTGCCTGTCAACAAGCGTCCATTTCTACAGACCACAATCCCTTCAAAAAAGATTGTGACATTTTAAACATATTGTTTTATACTACAGTCATACCTCATTATCTCAAAATTGATGGGCTGGGAAAACTTAGATATCCATGGATTCAAGATATTGAAGTTAAAATACTGTATAGGGGATTAATTTCACGGGTTGTAATTTTCACGGTTTTCTCTCTTCTGACACGATCGCGGTTTGTTGAATTCGCGGAATTGGTATATAATAAAAGTTACCTCCCTTGTCTATATCCATTTAATCCATAGCATAGCTAGAACGACATTAATTAATCAGCGTTATGTATTCACTTCACGAACAACAGGGTAGGTTTATATAAAATAGTTAGATTTAATAATTAACTGACGATTAATTAAAACAAGTGCAGTTATTAGAAGTCCTTGACTATTATAAAACGTTGAATGACTTTCCTACTTCCTACGTGCTATTACGATGAGTGCATGTACATGTACACCCCAAGATCTTCTTTCCAAAGGGATAATACATCGCGGCGAAAAACTACTGGACGGTAAGAAAAGTGGTAATGTAGGTCGACGAAATAATATCCTTCCACATCTACAGCAAGTTCGATAGTTATTTGATTTTTAAAACCAAAATGTCGATAAAAATTAATACGCGTGATAATGCAGGTAACAAATACACATGGTAACATAGTTACGCACGGGTAATCAAAACCCATGCTCCTACGTGTTTTGATTGATGAAACGTGTAGCTTTGGCTATCAAAACAGCTTTTGTAACAAATACAGGTTATTATCTGCTGATTTGAATTAAAGTAAAGCGTGATAATTATAATAATTGAATGCCAAGTACGACTCGTAATTACTGAAATGACCATGTACTGCACGACGTATATATACCTATCGTAGTTTATTCTCAAATTTCCATATAAAACATGGAGGTTATTGAAAAATTATTCACTGTTTCTTGAATTCACGGATTTATTAACACCGTGAATATAGCGAATATTAACACCGCGAGTTATTTTCCCCCTATACAGTACATGAAGAAAATGGTAGGAACTTCCAACTCACTTCAACATATACATAGTATTCGAGATATTGCTGATTGATATACCAAAGTTTTATTGTAAACTGTACTTCAATTCATCATCTACATACATAGATTTAAAATACCCCGTGTTACATTTTAGCATCAGATGACACTGACCTATTTCGGAGTTGTCTGCCTCCCAGTGCATGAAGCATGTGTTGTGTCTGGTGTCCCAGGCAGACATTTTACCATTGTTTGTGGAGATATACAAGGTGCTGTCACCAGAGAAATCCAGGGATGTGAACTCAACAACATTATTACTCTATAAACATAAAAAACAATCAAGTAATGTTTACATCTTAGATCCTAATTATTAGTTTATTCAGAATAATTCCTCTGGAACCTCACTTGTCTGATATACATGATATTAATCTTTTAATTCAATATGAGAATGTTTACTGTTAACAAGTGAGACACACATCCTAAAATAGGGACCAAATACTTTGGCTCCAAATATGACCTACCCCCTGTTTCTGCAACAACTCCTCTGGCACATCTGCCTCATGAACATTGAGACATGCATTATTTCTTGTTTCATCTAGAAGCCAGAAGAGCACAGATCCCCCCTGCCCTACCGACACAAACTCGTTAACAGAGAAAGGATCCCATCTCAGTTCATGGATGGCTGTGGTTGTTCTGGACGTTGTCAGGATTTCGTAATTAAGTGTACTCCAGACCACAATGCAGCAGTCCTGATAGTCCCCTGTGATGACAAAGTCAATTTTTATAGAGAGGAACTGAGCAAAAAAAGAATCGTAGCCTACTAAGAGTTCTAATTTACTTATTTTTTTGAAAAAGACATGTACAGGAATGTTTAATGTGTACTGTCAACATACGGACAGTCCAAATACTTCAAATGAAGTAATTCACAATAAAATATTAAATAATTTTTGCAACAAGTCAATAAATATGGAGGTTCAGATCCAAGGTTGCAAGGAATAATTAATTCCTTGGTATATTTTATTGTAGGAATCATGTCTCCACTTTCCATGGTAGAGAATCCCTCATTTGGACATTTAGTGAGAATGTTAGCCAGAATAAAACCTTAAAAGAATCTGCACTGAAAGTGCAGGAACATATTCAAACTTCAGCAGATATCATCAACATTACCATTTAAATATTGCTTTGATATTTGAAGGGATAAAAACTTTAATCGATTACATCTTCCAAAGTAATCGATTACAGGGCAGAAATGAGTGTAATCGATTAATAATCGATTACACAAAATTCCTCTAAGTAATCGATTATTAATCGATTACATTTTTCAGTAATCGTGCCCATCCCTGATTGTAGGTCCAATTTGTATCTCTATTCCATTTCGTTTATTTTTAGCTAGTCTCTTTACTCATACCAGAAATTAGTGATTTTCATATGCTCACTTTACATGTATACAATGGATTAAGAGTACTGGTATCAGTCTATCAGAAGTAATCCAGCAAACTACACAAGTGCCTCTGAGAGACTGGCACTCATCATTCCAGACGAGAAAAGGGGAAAGCAAGCGATTTTGTGTGGTGAACTATCCCACCATACACATTCCTTTTGTACATGTATTTATCAAAGGTTTTAATAACACGTGTTCGTGTTTATTTATATCTGTAATCTATTGGCTGCAATACTGGTCACCTTGTCAGGTGACATTTAAATATTCATTGCACGGGTTTTAACTGACCGCTGTTAGCGCCGAAAGTTCTATAGCCATTCGAAGGCTCTTTTCAGTGCAGATAACTGAATCCCCACCCCACCCGCCCTTGCTTTTACTTGTTTAATAAGATTTTATATTAAAAAATACTGTTTTGTTTTGTAGAAAGGAAGACAAAGAAGAATTGTTTATGATATTTGTATATATGTGTAAAAAGTAAACTGCACTTTCAGAGTGCTTCACATCCTAATATACGTGTTTGTGTTTATTTTATAAATTGTTTATGTTCGTTTGAGTGGCACAAATAAGAACATAAAGTAGATACATATATGATTGAGTACACATAAAAGTACTAACCAACAGATATAAGAAATCGGTCATCCCTGGAGTAGTCCAGACACACAATGTTATGTTCATGGTGACTAAGCACTTTCCTACACACTTGCTGCTGTAGATCCCAGATACAAATCTGGCTGGGGGAGATTCCAAATGACCCACTGGCAGATGCCAACACCTGAAATGTCCACAGATTAAATCATGCAGTAAATTCACATAAATGTAAAGAATATTCACATGTATCACATACAAGTTCCTGAGGGGTGTTTGATTTCTTGCAGTGACTTACTTGACAATCATTCTGAATAGCTAATGTTGATATTTCTTCAGTGTGACCTGTATATTGAAACAAAAAATTTCATGTTTTACAATTTTCTTCACACCAATAAACAATTATGATAAAATGTTAACATTAACATAGCTGAATTCTTACCCATTAAAAAGTTCTGCTTGCCAGAATCTAAGTCTTCAATAATAATACTAGCACCACATGTATAGATGAAAAGACCTGAAATATTGAATGTCATATTTACTATGCACTTCACTGGAACCCATCATTACAAACTTTCTTGAATACACCTCACAGCTGGTTAAATATCAAATCCGAAGTGGTCTAGCATACCATGGGTTCATTCAAGATTATAGTGGCTATATAGCTATTACAAAGAGCTATGATCTTGAATGATGTGCCAGTCTAGTGCCTACATAGGGAAACCCAGCAAGCATTAAAAATTAGGTACCAAATCCAAGATGGCCTCTTTAGTTACTGCTTCACATCTCAAGAGAAACTTACAAAAAGTGGGGTTGTTTTGTCCATCTTAGAATATAAAATGTTAATTTACATATCCATTTTTTGCTTGAGGTCAGTTCACTTTGTTTCAAAAATTAGTTATTACCGAGATATTTGTATCCAAAATCTAACATCTAGCAGCTAAGCATGCTGTCCTTTCAATAAAGCTAGATATCTACCATCTAGCTGCTAGACTAGCAACTATGGTCTTCAAAGCAGCCCATGACAGTATGCTAGCTAACTGAGCTACTGAGACCCAATTCATTGACAGGTTAGTTCCACACTTGTTTAAGCTATGCAGTTTTCTTCAACAATCTCGTACCTGTGTCAGGATGCCACACCATGTTACCACGGCCATTACCATTATAGCCAATCACAGACTTCAGTTTTACTCCAGCCTGGTTAGGTGGAGCTGTGTATCGCCTCTGGAATTTTGACAGAAATACATGTATGTTTATAAAAACATTTTTAAGATCAGTTCCATGCAATTTTCTCTGAATAAGTATTCCTAAGTTATCTGCATTTTGATGATAGTTAGTGTAACTTAAAGAAATTATTTGCGAAAAAAATTTCTTTTGTACATCAAATATCATTTTTCAACAATTGCACATTGATGAAACAAATCATAGAGTATACATTGTCAGCCAACTTTCTATCCTGTGCCACGACCTAAAATGTGTTAATAGACACACTTGTGTCAGAGTATGTACTCTTCTTTACCTGTATATATATATTTAAGATTCTGCAGAACATTATATGAAGTTACAATTTGAGTGTGCAATTTTACAATGAGGGAAGATATAGGAAAATTCAATTCCTAGCAGTGATGATGATGTAAACTTTGATGCCTGATATAATTTCCAGTTATATAAAATTAAAATTCAGATTAAAAAGTCACCTGAGCAAGACCATATTCTTTCTTCCTGGCTAGAAAGTGCTTAGTACACATAGGTTTGACTGGTTCCCCAATAGGAGAATTACTTTCTGGTCGCTTGCCAAAAGCTCTCTTTGTTTGGATCTTGGATGGGGTATTTTGTCGACTGTTGTCTGCAGAATGCAACGTTGGATATGAATCTGATGAATTTTGTGGCATATTCTTTTTAGGTAATATTTCAATCTGAAATTCAAAAAAAAAATTACATAATTTTATTTCTATGTCACAATCAAATAAATGCATAATCTATTTTGAAAAAAATGTTACATTATCTGTTCTGATTTTTTTTACATCAAAGTACTGTACATGTATCTGAAACCTTAATAGTTTCATAAATGTGTCTGACATTAACACAACAGTACAGACTTTTACTTACAGAATCACATTCACTTTTCTGGTCTATCATAATGTTCCTTTCTGATGTTCTATCTGCTAGTACAGAACTACTGACAGTATCTGAAACAAAATATTAAACAATCTAAAAAAAATTGCATGGAGCAAGGTTTTGACCAACAGCTTTAGGTCTTTAATTTTAAGTCTATTCAACTTGATAGTCCATCATTTGTGAAAAAAAGAGAAAATGTACAAATTTGCATTTCAAATCAAATACAAACCATCATAGACTTTGTGTATTGAACTCAGGTCTGCTACTCGTCCTGGTGATGACCCAAGTGACCTTGGAGGGTGAAGGTCAGCAATACGACCTGGTGACCCTGCACTTGTAGGTCGCATTGGTCTGGGTGGGGTTCTGCGAGGCATATCTAGGTATGTATCAGTCAGGCTTTTACTTAGATCATGTAGGCTGTCACCAACTCTTTCTGTGAGGGAAGCAAAATTTAAGTATTTGAGCTTGCATTCAAAAATAATAGTCATAATTTACTACTAAGTATTTAGACAGTAAAACACACCTGGTTGAGGGTAAGCTGGAAAACTTGTTTCCCTCACTTGCCTTCCTCTGAAAATGTATATAATAATATATTAACTAGTTAACTCTGAACGCTAAAGCTTACTGGTATCCATTGAATGATTTAACAGAAAACAAAATCAATAAGGTCATGTAAATTTAATTCCCATCTCATTTAGACAGAATGCTATGTACCTATTAGAGTTTAAGCATTAACTAGATAACTATTCAGAAATATGGGTATTTACTCATTAGGTGGTGAAGGGGGTCTGAAAGCCATGAAGTCCCACAAATAAATGGCTTCTCCAACACTGAGGACATTTTTCCCATCTGGAGTCCAGATCACCTTGCTCACATTTTCGGAATGGCCAATGAAAACCTGTTTTAGGAGATTTGTAATGGAAACCTCTTTAAACATTTACAATGCAACACAGATTTTATAAAATTGTTCAAAGGATAAATGAAAACTTCAAGAAAATTTGGACTTCCTATCAAATTAAAGTAATCAGGCAATAGTATCTTTAAATACCTGAAAGTTAATATCCAATTTCATGTTGTAATCCCAGACTTTGATAACTTTGTCCCCACAGGTCACAAGATAGCGCCCCGTCTCTGAGACTGCCAGACAACTGCAGCCACTGCGATGGATGTTTCCAATCTTAAAAAAAAATTCAAATATTACTTTAGAATTACACAGAAAGAACAGTGGATTTATTCAAACTATGATAATACTAGCTCTAGTCATCAGACCAAAAAAACAACAGAGGAAGTAACTAATGCTCAGGACAATGTGATAATCCTAGCTATCATATGTAACATTTTTAAACTTTATTAACAAATAATCAAAAATAGACAGTTTGGTATAAGTTGATATAAGTTTTATTTACAATACCCCTAACTTTGTCCTCAAGGAGTATAACAACAAAATTCAATATATGTATTTACCTCCGAGAGCAGTCTGCCAGACTTGGCATCAAACTTGAGGAGTTTGTTATTGGCTGTTGTTACCAGGAGATGCCCCACACTCTCAGGTGCGAAGTAAACTCGCTCAGCTGAGTCCAGATTATCAGACTTGGAGTCACAGGAACTGCTACTAGAAATGTCAATCCTCAGTACCTGTTGATTGAAGAGATTAAATACATATATTACATATTAGTTATGCTTTCAGACAAGTGGAATTGCTTTTTACATTTATCAATATTTGAGAACAATCATAGGTTATCATATACTAAAATAAATACACTAAACCCAATTTCCTTAGAATCTACTTTTTGCTGTACTTTTTTGTGGTTTAACATATTACAGAGACTTTTATTACTGTAGTTAATTCACAGAGCAAACAGAGTTCAAACTATAAATTATGCTTACAATGACAAAACACTAAATCCTTTGTCCTGACAAAACTTACTGAAGCCAGTCTAATACAAATGAAGGCAACATATAACAGAATCTATAAGTGACAATTATTTAGCATACCTCACTTAAGGATTTAGCATCAGCCACACAAACTGTAAACTCCGACGGCCCAATGAAAGCCACTCTTCTTCCATCAGGACTCACTGCAATGGCCTCTGGTCCCAGTCTTTCTGTCCTGACGACTGTGTTAGCTAACAGTCTCAGTAAAGTGTAACGGTCAGATTCAGCATCATACAGAGACATGGAGCCAAGGGAACAGGCACTGTACAAAAAGTCCCCAACTGGGGAGAAGGCCAGACCTATAATCTTACCACGATGCTGTCTACAAAAACAGAACACAGAATTACATATTACAGATCAATATACTGTGGAATCATTTAAATTCGTTGGGGTCAATGTTCATGGGCAAGAAAAATTTTATTGGTTCGTGGGGATGTAATTTCGTGGGCAGCTCGTTTATTTGGTAGATCTAATTAATCAGTACGTTGACAAAATAGTTGTTCATGGGGATGTAAATTCGTGGGTAAGGGTTACCCACAAACATTGATCCCCCACGAACAATAATGATTCCACAGTATTATGTGAAATCTAGGTTACAAAAACCGTAAACTGTATGTTAATAATTCATCATTTCTTTATTAACACTTATTACTTGTAACTTAGTTATTTACAAAGACATCTGTTAAAATTGCAGGCTAAAATATGATTAGAAATAAATTACAGACAGTAAACACATTACACATTGATATTTATGGTAGGTGTGTGTTTTCTTACTTGTGCTCAGCTAGCATGCTGGTAGTTTGGACATTGAACACACGGACAACTCCACTCTCAAAACCACAGGCAAATATCTGGCGAGATGGATGGTAGGCAATGGCACATGGACATTCATTAGGAGCACTAAAATCATACAGCTGGAAAAAAGCACAAAGGCTGTTAAATGGAAGGCTTTTCAAACAATATATTACTGTGGTATGGATACCATGATTTATGTTAAACAAAGTAACTATCAAACACCTATCACTCAGTACAGGTATATCAACCATAGTCATAAAAGACTAGTCTATAAAATGTAATTACTTGTTGTAGGGTTTCTGAGTCCCATACTCGGATGGTGAAGTCACTGGACACAGTGGCCATGTGTTTCCTATAGGGGTCCACTGCTACCCCAGAAATCCTCCCTGTGTGGGACCTCATGACAGTGGTGTATCCACGGGTGGAGATGTCTAATATACCTAAGTTACCCTATTGGAGTACAAAAACAAAGAGAATATAGTAAATCAGAATGTTATAAACTTTCTGTAAAAATTTTTCCAGAAGTTAAATCTGAAATGATTTTTCATCTTTTGACTTACAGTGGAAGTTCCTGCAAGAATTTTCATTCCATCTGCTGAGAAGTCAACAGCCGTTACTGGGCCTTCATGTTCTGAAAAATAGATAAAGTCAATGTTAAATGACTACCACAATTTATATCAAGAGGTTGTGATACATTTTTAAAGCTTTTTTATCAATAAAAACAAACCCTACAAAACAGTTCATACCAGCTTCAAGATACACATGCTCAAAATCCAACGGCCACAATCTCAAGTATCCGTCATCTGACCCCATGACACAGAAAGTCTCATTAACACTCATACAGTTTATCGCTAGTCCTGTGCCTAAATAAAACAAAAGGCAAATTTGTTAATGGAAAATTCATCTTTAAAATTTTTTAGATAACTTTTGGATATTTTTAAATTAATTTCTCCTGACCTTTTTGCTTGTCTTTGCTTGCCTTATTTTCATTTGGCAGCAGTCTGCGTACATGTTTAATGGTTACTTTCTGAAGGTCAATCTCAAACACATGACCTGTCTTACTACATGCATAACTGGAAAAAAAAATAACCAAATTACCCAATTTTTATCTTAACTCTGTTATTTCCTTACTTTCTTTCTCATTATATGCAGTTATATTTCCTGTTTTCCATTTTCAAGTCTTATTAAGAATCTCCAATCCTCATTGACTTTTATTTAGATTTCCTAAAACTCAAGAATAACAAGTCTATAACTTACACTATCCTGTCTGCTGGGTCTTTATCAGCATGATAACCTGCCTCAAAACAGACATCAGTGAACTCCATCAGATGATACTCCCCAAGATTGACAGGTGCTGATCTCAGTTGACCTTCTTTGACCCTCCATAACCTCACATTGTCCCGCCCACATGACACCATTCTACCAAAACATTCATTTCATGCAATGAAATGTCAATGTACATGTATATACACTAAAAGTCTTGCAATTACTTAAACTACTTGTGATTCATAAAATTAATATGGGTCAGAGGTTTTACCTAGTATCATCAAATGCAGCAATTTTCATTCTTGAGATATCTACATCAGAGTGTGCTTTAGCCATCACACTGATCTCGCGGCTCTTCATGACTTTTGACGTGTTCCAAATCACAACCATCTAAAATTTAAAGATTTAAAAAATAGCATTGATGCCAACATGCTAAGGACTTTAATAATATTTCCATTTGATTTAACTCCTCCCCCCTTTAAAAAAAACTGAATTACTCCTAACTTACTTGCACAGGGTTAGGATTAAAAGAAGCTGAAGTTAAGAAAAAATTCTCAAAATACAGACAGATAAGCTTATACAGTGAGGGCAAAAAAATGCAACAGTATACAGTTATGGAATGGGTACTCGGGAAATATCAAATTTATGGTTCCCCAAGGGAGGAAACTATTTCCCGAGGCGGTGAAGCCGCCGAGGGAAATGGTTTCCTGCCGAGGGGAACCATAAATTTGATATTTCCCGAGTACCCATTCCATAACTGTTTTATTATTCCAAAACAATCAAGGGAGATTTATTAAACTGGAGACTCAGACATTTTTTAAAACAATATAGAGGCATTTAAATAATCACAAATGCATGTGATTAAAAATATTGTAAGATAACTAATGCATCAATACCGAGGAAAATGAAATTATTAAAAAATATAAAAAAATTTCACTGACACTTCGAAAGATTATTGTTGTCTTCATTTTGCTAGAATTCCAGTATGATTTTGACATTGCATGTCAAAATGTTTTGACGTCATAGGTACATTGCTAATAACATTACGTCACAGACTCGAGATTCCTTGAACGCTCCACCCACTGATCATTTTAATTGATTAAAATTATTAATAAATATTCATGAGGGAGTAGTCCTAGGTAGTAGCTCCGATTTTTCAGGGAGTAGTCCTCTGATGAGGGAAATAGTACCGGGTATCTTCTTAGGAAAATAGACAGTTTTATGGTATTAATTCTAGAGTAATAACAGTAGAGGTATAATAATGAAAAATATATACTAGTATGACAAATAAATGGTCTTACATTCTTTCCATGGTTATCTTTTCCAACTCCACAAAGAGTACTGCCTCTATGAGAAAAACTGAAAAAAGATAATAGAATAACATATTAATGATACAATATCTGATATGTATTGCAGAAGTGTACCGGTATACAGATAATTTGAATGTTTGAACCGATATTATGATAAAACAATCTAGTAAAATTAAGTAAAAATTTTCAAATATATGTACACGTTATGTCTTTATGTAACACCTCACTGCTCCTTGGTTATTGTAATACTTTTTAAGTTTTTTTTAACAAAACTTTTTCCTTTTTTAACTACCTGAGAGAGTGAAGTGAATGGGCATGTGTCTTTGTCATGGCCATACATTCCCCTGTGTCAAACTTCCACAGTCTGACAACACTGAGAGGACCTGTCTGTCCTGAAGCCAGCAGAGTTCCAGCACCATTCAATCCTATACAGGACACCTGGTAATTGGAAAATAGATCTTAATACTTCGCCTTATTCCCTATGTGTTTCAAATTGATTTTAACTTTAATATAATCAGAACTGCAAAATAATCTCTTCCATGGATCAAGCAAACTTAAAATCTATAAGATTAGTGTTGTCTCTAAGACTTTCTGCCAATTTAATATTATTAAGCAATTAAATTGAAATTGAAATAGCATACATCCCTAAATGAGCGACGGTTCAAATAACTTACATCCCTAAATGGGCAACAGTTAAAATAACTCAAGATGTACCACAAAAAAAAAGCATTGGATGACAGAGGGATGGACACTGCGACTTCTGTGGAAAACACAAATTTAGATGTGGAGTTCTAATTAAACTTACTTTATCTGTGTGACCAATGAAGAATCTCTGGTGGCCATTGTTTACTTTCATTGCTACGACAACAGCATGACATGGGTAGATAACAGTAGATCCATCAGACGTCCAAAGTGCCTGAAATGTATGCCACAAATACAGATGTTCTCAAGCACATAAGACATACAAAGGAGCAGCAGTAAAATTAACATACATCCCTAAAGGAGCAACAGTTAAAATAACTTACATTCCTAAAAGGGCAACAGTTAAAATAACTTACATCCCTAATGGAGCAGCATTATAATAACTCACATCCCTAAAGGAGCAGCAGTAAAAATAACTTACACTCCTAAAGGAGCAACAGTGAAATAACACTAAAGGAGCAGCAGTAAAAATAACTTACATCCCTAAAGGAGCAAAGTACAATAACACTAAAGGAGCAGCAGTAAAAATAACTTACACTCCTAAAGGAGCAACAGTGAAATAACACTAAAGGAGCAGCAGTAAAAATAACTTACACTCCTAAAGGAGCAACAGTACAATAACACTAAAGGAGCAGCAGTAAAAATAACTTACTCTCCTAAAGAAGCAACAGTACAATAACACTAAAGGAGCAGCAGTAAAAATAACTTACACTCCTAAAGGAGCAACAGTGAAATAACACTAAAGGAGCAGCAGTAAAAATAACTTACACTCCTAAAGGAGCAACAGTACAATAACACTAAAGGAGCAGCAGTAAAAATAACTTACTCTCCTAAAGAAGCAACAGTACAATAACACTAAAGGAGCAGCAGTAAAAATAACTTACACTCCTAAAGAAGCAACAGTACAATAACACTAAAGGAGCAGCAGTAAAAATAACTTACACTCCTAAAGAAGCAACAGTACAATAACACTAAAGGAGCAGCAGTAAAAATAACTTACACTCCTAAAGAAGCAACAGTACAATAACACTAAAGGAGCAGCAGTAAAAATAACTTACTCTCCTAAAGGAGCAACAGTACAATAACACTAAAGGAGCAGCAGTAAAAATAACTTACATCCCTAAAGGAGCAACAGTACAATAACACTAAAGGAGCAGCAGTAAAAATAACTTACCCTCCTAAAGAAGCAACAGTACAATAACACTAAAGGAGCAGCAATAAAAATAACTTACATCCCTAAAGGAGCAACAGTGAAATAACACTAAAGGAGCAGCAGTAAAAATAACTTACACTCCTAAAGGAGCAACAGTACAATAACACTAAAGGAGCAGCAGTAAAAATAACTTACATCCCTAAAGGAGCAACAGTACAATAACACTAAAGGAGCAGCAGTAAAAATAACTTACATCCCTAAAGGAGCAACAGTACAATAACACTAAATGAGCAGCAGTAAAAATAACTTACACTCCTAAAGGAGCAACAGTGAAATAACACTAAAGGAGCAGCAGTAAAAATAACTTACATCCCTAAAGGAGCAGCCACCAAATCCCACTATTCTTTTTAGCCGCAGGATCGGGTCTGGTTCAAGACTCTACAAATTTATATATAAATAAGTCAATTTTAAGCATCATTTTGACAACTGGAATTCATAAACAAGGTGGAATCTTTCTAGTCATATTTAAATCAAATCTGAACTCATGGACTCATAAATAAATTTTGTTTGATATAAATTTTTTAAGTACCTTACAATCCGGATTTTTGGGCTGTAAATATGAGCCTGTGGATACTTTGGTAATTTGTCTTGGCTGAAATAAAAGAGGTTCTTATCATTAAAAACAAACAAACAAATATAAATCAAACTATTTTTCTCCTTTCTCATCACATATACATAACAATGTTAGCAATAAAATTTAGACATTGTTAGTATGTTAAAATACATTGAAAGATAAGACCTCAGGTGATTCAGGTGATAAATGTACTTTTTTTTATTCAATTTTTTTTCTCTTGAGTTTTTGGTTTAAAATATTATGTGGTATACATAAAGAATTTCCAATATCAAATGTTAATCTCACTGGTTTATACATATTTTATATGATTTTGTCAGATTTATGTAGAAAAAGTTTTATTTAGTATGACACACAATTCTGTGTACTGGTTCCCAAACCTTTCCAGTTTTTGGATCCTCCTGGTGAACCAGCACCTCCTCCTCAGGATGGGCAAACACATGGACCTCCCCTGCTGAGTCCTGTACAATACTAACATCATCCACCCCAACAAAAGGAAGTTCACTGGTCACCTTATGGCATTTCATTTTCTTTTTAAGAAAAAATTCAGTTAATCAATGATGTTGCATGATTAAGAATAATACACAAGTCTTAATGGAAAAAATATTGCACCAAATTTTAAAAGACACCACTTGCAGACTAGCTAACATTTATATCACCATCCAGGTTTAGGTGATATTGAGCTGAATTATTTTCATGGCATCAACCCTTCAAATCTGATTCTACTAACCTGTTTTGGTTGTGTGATTTTGTTGATCATGGTCACCCTATCAGAGACGCACTGACTGACATTTACTGTACGAGATGCCACTCTCTTGGGCTCAGATTCACTGGGAACATCTGTCAAGTTATACAAGGTAAATTGTTATGATTGTTAAAATTCATAAACTATTTCCACCAATATAATCAAGACTTTTAAGAACTGAAACAAGATTGTTTCTATATAGTAAATATGTACTGCTTGTACATGTATATGAAGAGTGGTAATGTACATGTAAATGAAACCTTGATATCAAAGCCTATACCAACCTTGTCTGATGTCTGGGTCATCAGAAAACTGTATTGAATCAAAGGGTTTCTTTGTGCTGTCATTTGGAAATCTACGGAAACAGAAGTACATATAAACAGAGGTATGCTTTTTAATTAGATATACTGATCTCAGCCTGTTTAAACAAATACAGATAAAAATAGATAGAGACAGTGAAAGAGATACAGCCACATTTAGTATAAAGTTAAATTGATTTTACATAGTGTTACTTAGAAATTTCTCTCATATTGAAGACAATACCAATCATTGGTAAAGTACCATATCTAGACCTATGCAACAGATTCAAGTTCAGGCCTTACGTGCTCAAAGCACGAAGAGGACTAAGTAAGTAAGTAAGTAACAAATTCAATTCAATGCTAAGAAAGGTCTTTATCATGTCATGCAGCTCTTCACAGAAAGACTTGTGACTCTCACTAGTTAATGCTATGCAGCTGGTAAAGGAAAAGTCAATACATGTACCTCATGTATAGTCTTATGTCGGACCTGACCATAGTTGAACTTATGACCTTCAGTAAAGGAATGAATGCCATTATGGCTGTTATGTGATTAAAGAAGTTGGTAATACAAACCTGATGAAATCATACAGATCATTCCAGTTTTCACCTCTTTGGGTCGGGAAGGACATTTCTCTACACATAGGGTTTAATCCTTTACCCAGCAGACCAGCCTTCTTTGCTTTCTCCACTGTGAGACCTAAAATTCAAAGTAGAGAAAATAGCCATCTGTTTAATTATTCTAACTAGATGCATGAACAGATTCTTGAGGCAAAATAACCAATCACAAAATCCATATATCTAATCATGATGGGAAATGCATTGTCAACATCAGCCCCTAGATTATCAAAATAAAAATATAATACTGGCTGGATTTGGTTTTGAAAAATCTCGGAGAGAAAGTGGACTATACTTATTCAAAACTGAATAAGGTAACTCTTTTAAGCACAAAAACATTACCTGGTTCATACAGATTATCACTGGTGAAAATATTTTTGACCATCATGTTGGCACAAAGTCTGACACTTTTTAGGTAGGAGAATTTTCTGTTCAGATATAATGACAAGACATGGCTAAAGTCCATACATAAAACTGTCCATCTAGTAGCCAATGGAGCCACACCACCATGATCTAAAACATAAAAATCATAATAGTATTGAAATTTATTGACAAATATCAACTATATTAACATGGGATATAAAACCTGATGACCAGGTGAGACAATTCCAGATGAAATAAGACAAGAAATTTAGCAAAATGATTGTTAGAAAATATCAGAAGTGCTGGCTTCAAATATGTCACTATTCCTTCATGTTAAAATGAAATGTACATCCAGATACAAAGATGACATTGATTATGCAGACGATTTACACCATCTTTAGAATATCAGTCACTAACCATACACAATTGCTAAGTTTACAAGCAAATTAGAGGTGGGATAATAATTTTTTACATACCTTTACTTCCACGGGCTGCTAATGAATGAACAGATCCTTTAGGAGTGTTACAAAGAAAGGGAAACTGGAGCCATGTAGATGTTGACTTAAATTCTTTGAACAAATTTGAAAATGAGATTCTGACAACTAGATTGTCTTGTGTAGCCACATCAATGTGCACCACAAAGTACTTTGTTGGAATAGGTTTGAACAGAATGTAGATATATTTTCCTGTAAGTCCCAAGGACTGGGTCTGTAGCTTTGGTAACTGGATGTAGTTCCCAGCAGGGATGGAACCAGTTATCTTGTACACAGTACATTTGATGGTTTTGTCCTAGAATTTAAAAAAAAAGTTCCATAATTCAATCAAATATTAGTCACAATATATTTACAAGTATGAAAATAAGAATTTAGTCAATTTGAGGCTACAACATTTCAGACAAAAATTCTATCTTACCATGATAGCACTGACATCCCCCTCTTTTGTAGCTTTCTTCCATGATGCCACATCAAGATGTTTAAAAACATTTACATAGGGGTGCTGCCAAACTGAAATATTGAAAACAGTTATATTTCATACTACATGTAGTAACTATCAGAACAAATCTAAGATATCTGTTATCTTAATATATATGTACTGGTAGTTCATATTGCCTAGGCAGTGGAAAATACTGTAGATTCCTTATTTTTCGAGAGTACTTATTATTGTGAAATGGCATTTTAACTTCAAATCGCAGCAACAATAATTCGCGATTGGACGGTTGATCAAGAGATTTTACATGGATTTTAACACCATGAAAATAAAAGTAAGTAATTTTATTTCACGAGGGGCTTTTCTTGCGAAATTATGTGATATTTATTTCCTCTTGTATATTAAGGAATCTACAGTAGTCATATATACTGATATTCCTATGAATATCAAAAAAATAAGGCATATTTGAAATACTACAATGTACAGAAGATCCAAGGATGTATCAGACAGGTAAATCCGGCATGGGAAGACTACTTTTCTGGTATCCTTAAGACATACCATAAAACGGGTACTACTAAACAGAGTACGCTAGAGTACGATAGAGTACTTTAGAGTACGCTAGAAAAAATGTGTAGTTTAATGCAATTAAATTGTTTATTTATGTAAATATAACTCGATTAAACATTATTATAAACTAATATTGCAATATTTATTTCAAAATATTTGTTTTTAGCGCTATTTTGACAAGAAAATAACATTCATGATTCAATGCATTGAACTGTTAAAGATTATTAACACTCTGATCTCGATTAATATTTTGTTTCAGACTTACTAACTTCAACTAAATTTTATCAAAAATAAAATTTATTGCCCTATATAAATATTTTTTACATTAACAATGAAACATTTCAACATGTTCAAGTTAAATTAGATTGGGATCAAATGATAAACCGTCACCTGAAATCAGAATTTGAAATAACTCCTAAAATAAGGAAAACATACAAATCTAATTTAAAATATATATTCATTATGTTTAACTAAAGTAGAAAAACATACAAAAAGTAGTTAAATTGCATTAAATTATTAAATTTTACTAGCGTACTCTAAAGTACTCTATCATACTAGCGTACTCTGTTTAGTAGGACCGCCATAAAACTGTACTACAAATACAATGTTGCTATTGTGTTCTCACTTCTCAGTGTTACTAGTAGGGAACTGGGAATAAGATAGATTGCAGAAGCTCTAAACACTAATAAAAAGTGCTTTTTAGACTTGGAGAAATATATATCATATAAAGGTTTGCATATTGAGACTATTTAGTTCATTTCCAACATAGGTTACCTGCCTTATTTCCAGAGGAACAATATTCAAAGACAATGGACTATTCATGAATAGAAAGAATTGTTGTTTACTTACACTGGGAAATTAAAAGAAATAAAGAATTAAACTACTTATTCTTGGTTTAATATAATGCTTACAATATTTTAATCTATTACAAATTGTGTAATTAACTGTAAATAACCATTTTTTCTATCTTACTTCTAAAGGCATATAACTCTAACTGCATAAAACTACCCTACAAGTAGAACTCATTAGTGTGCATCGTTTAGAGCTTCCTTAAATGCAGCATCCTTATACATACTTTTTGTTTATGTTTTACTATGTGACTGTCACATGTGGATAGAATCCTTTTTTTTTTTAACAAGACTAAAACTATCTACCGAAGAAAAATCTTCAATACCGATTAGTGTAAGGTGTGTGTGTTCAGTTATTGCAAATATGTTAAAATTAAAAAAAAATACTGACAGCTTTAAATGTGATATCGCATGTTTTTAGAGACAAGTTTTGTCATGCTCCGAATGTCAATGAACTTTGCAAAAACATGATGATTACGCATTTATGAAACAAACTTACGCTGTGACATTTTCAAGATATTTGATTCTTTTTTGCCCGATAATGCAATTCACTTAAAATGACTCTAGTTTAGCATAAACAGTCTTCATATGCTATTCAAAAATTAAAATCTGTATCCTTTACCGCCATGTTGTAAACAAACTGCGTACGCAGTGCGGGACGGTTCGCCCCAAAAGACCATTCGCGCTGAGACGTTTCGCCCCTAGACGGTTCGCGCCAAAGATCTAATTAGTTTTGAGGTAATTATCACTTGTTAATGGCAATTATTAACTTCTTAATAACTTTTATACTGTGTTATATTAATTCAATCCATTGGTTCAATCAATATACTAAAGACGTGACACTCTGAAGACCTGATTGAGATAATTTTGTCTGTATGGGGGAAATATTAATAGATGATGCATACCAAAATACACTTGTAGAGAATAAAAACTGAGAATCTAACTCTATATCAAGCTATATACCCCCCCCCCCCCGCCCATAACCACACTAAAATAAAAAAAAAAGAAATTGTCAGACCTGATTTTTTAAAATGAATTCCTGTTACTTAAAAAAAAAAGGTATTTCTAAATGACCTGATATTTTTATATGATGTGAGAAAACAGCAACTCGTGATTATTTTAATGACATGATGATTTAAAAAACTGATCTATTTTGATATAACAGACATAGAAATAAATTAAGGCATGTCACTTGTGAAATAAGTTATATCGAAAGATTTTTTTGAGAAGTATAGTTTTGATAAGTAATTATATAGCATTACTCAAAATCACAAAGAAAATTGGAGTCAGTGTGCATCCTACTGAGCAACGGTAAAATAAACTTGATAATTAACACCCGTCTCATGATTTAATTCTCCTCTTTATCTTGACATGGAGAGTCTCCAAATTATAGTTATTACACCTTAATTACAAAACTGAATCAGAGAACTATGATTGCTGAATAAACATAATTATATCTGCACATGGATAATTATATATTCAATTATGGTATAAGCCCATTTTCAACAATTTAAACATGAAAGTTTTTTTTAGTAACTTTAGAACATTTTTTTTAATAAAGTCAATATTAACCTTATATATAAATATTTATCTTAATATATCGTTATAGAAATTGTAGATTAAATTTGGCGCGAAACATCTCGGCGCGAAAGGTCTTTTGGGGCGAATGGTCTCGGCGCGAACAATCAATAGGGGCGAAACGTCCCGTTACCGCGTACGCAGCTTCTCTCAAATTGTTAACTCGATCATCAAATCTGTCGTATCGCATCCCGTCTCACACACTATATTCTATTATTATACCCGCACGTTCGATAGAAAGTTGATATATTGTCGTTATCCTGGTCCGCCCGTTTTCCGTTCTTCCGAACAATTGATATATCATTAATAACAGATCAATCTGCTGAATAATTTCGCACAATAATTCAATTGCTAGTCCAGCACTCTTCAAGTTTCTTTTTATTTATTGAGTGCATATGATATGGAAAAGTAGTAAGACTTCTATAATGTTCTCTCAACATTTTATTTTAGTTTTAATTCCTAGTTTTAATTTAAAATCTTTAAAAGTAGGATCCATTCCTCAAATCTGGGAACAGATTACATGCAATTATTTTCTTTCTCCCCGAAGAACGAAACAAGAAGAAGGAAAATGCCAAAATTTAAAACTCTTTTTCTATAGGTGCTGTGCAGGGGCCTCTATACAGTATAATACTAACTTGTTAGTAGGTCCCTGATAAGTACTTTTTTAAAAGAACAGTACTGATTTAAAAACTAAATAACATTTTGACCGATTGAATGAGCCCTATAAATAAACCCTACTAAATATTTATTGGTCAATCATGCACAATGTTAAAAAATCATTTAATTTGCTTTGGAATCTGGGATATGCAAGGTCCTTTTTCCCCCTATGGTTTAGAAAAAAATAGATTGATTAGTAGCAGCCGCAGACGCGGATCCGAGATTTTTTTTTTCCAAAAGGGGGTAGGGTGGGATGAGGGTCCACATCAATTCTAAAGGATGTCATACTCTGGAATTTCTTGACAAGCAAAAGAGAAAAGCTACTAACTTCCCCAAACCTGTAATACCTATTTCGTGGAAGGGGGAGCGTGTTTACTATGTACATTAATTTAATGTACAGTCTGTCCCACCAGGGACCTATATACTAGCATATAGGTCCCTGGTCCCACCAAGCTAATGTTACCACTCATTTTCAAATGACAAATCATTCTAAATTATCTTGTAGATTTAATACATCGGACATCTAAACAATTTATTAACTAATTTGTGCACTTTTTTAATCTCATCTTCCCGGACCCCCCCCCCCCCCCCTCCTCCCCCAGGTCATATTATAGATTCCCCAAAGAGAGCCAGAACCATTTATAGAACAACTTATCTTGAATACACGTGGTATCTCGATCTCGATGTAATTTCATCAGACGTAGTTTTTTTTTTTTTTTGGTTCATAGACTAAAATAGTTGCCGACTGCTTAATTTATGCACAAAGTAGACAACAAGTGACTTGCTATGTTGATAAGTGAGTTGTGGACCCGAGTTACTGACTCGATCTCCAAAGCAAGCATCCAGCCCGTCAGAGTTGAGCATCAAGTTGAACAAGTTCCATCATCGAGGATGAGCGAGTTCACATCTCTGTTGATCAGACTGGCGCTGTCTGCTGGACTGTCTCTCGTGTTGGGTAAAATTCTTCTTGATATGATGGACCCCACAAGGAAGCAAAAGAAGGAGGCAGAGAAGAGGGTTAGTAGTGAAGGAATTGGCTCTCTTTTAGTCTTAAGCAATACTGTTGTAGTGAAGCAATCTTAACCACCGTTAACGTTAACGTATATGTTCATCGACATGGTTATGAAAAAAAGACAATTACATTGACTTCCTATGTTTTAAATCTGTTCTTATTGTTTTCATATCATATTTTAGAGAATTACTCTTTGTTTAGCAAATAGGCCTCTGATGGAAGAATAGAGGTCATTTAAAATGCATCATGTAATGACTCATTGTATAATTAGTGTAATTACACTAATAAAAATATAATTTAAATATTTTACAGGCTAAAGAATTGATGAAAAGAATTGGGGTGACTAATGTGAAGGTAAATGTGTCAATTTTATAAACTCACTTGATCAACATACTCTCTAATGTTTTTCCACTGTTACGAATATTACATTTTTCCTCTTATCTGAAAATACAACATATTAATTGGTATAACTTTTAGTTGACAGAATATGAACTTTGTTTTGCTGCTGACTTGATTGAACCAGAGAGTCTTGATGTATCATGGGTTGACATTGGGGGTTTAGATGATGTGGTTAGGTCAATCAAAGAAACTGTCATATTCCCATTTAAAAGACGAGACTTATTCAAAGATTCATATTTAATCCAACCACCAAAGGGTTTGTATGAACTAGCTTTTTTACATATACATACAACCCCATTTTCTTTCTTTTCTTTTTTTTTTTTACATTTATGATACAACAATTCAATATGTTAAAAAATAGTATATCCCACATTTTAAAAACAATACTTTGATTAAGGCTAGATTTGAGATAGTCATAATTTTAGATTAATTTTCAAAAGGCCTTTTGTTACACGGACCTCCTGGATGTGGAAAAACAATGGTTGCCAAAGCAATTGCAAAAGATGCAGGTACAAGATCCAATATATTGTGTCATTTTCTTGAATTTTGAAAGTTTAATTTGCTCATTTACTTAGGACATCCGAAAATGCAATGAGATTTATACTTCTAATCTAACATCATAAAATACATTATTATTATATACTTATCACACCTTGGTTTTCTGAATCCCTATCACCACTCTCTGAAACTGATGACATAGTATATACATAGTATACAGTACACAATGTTTTTATTTCTTACCTATGAAAAAAAAGCTCCTCTAAAATGTGTTTTGTTTCACAGATAAATGTTGTATTACTGACTGCAAAAATTACTTGTTTTATATTTAACTAATAATGGAGGGGTATACCATGAATTTATCCTGAAAACAGTAATTTGATCCAAAGAGCCAGATCACATGTCAGTGACAGATGCTTTGCAAATCTTATTTGAGCTGAAGATCTGTGCCTGTCAACTTGACGTGATCTGTGTCTTTTGATCAAGTTAATGTTATAGTAATTATTTATTGACCTTTATATGTTATATATTTAGGAGCCAGATTTATTAATTTCAAAATTTCATCAATGGTGGATAAATGGTATGGAGAGTCACAAAAAAGAGCAGAGGCAGTGTTCTCATTGGTCTGTTAATTATTTGTTCTTTGTTTTTCTCAAAAGTTAAAATTATTTTATAAAGCTCACTGAATATTTATCAATGAGCAGTCACAGAGGTTTATCACATTTCAGTTTTGCATATACATGTACTTAGTTTAACATAACAATGTAAAAAAAAATATATATGTATCAGAGGTCCTTGTAAGACAAATTGTTCAATTTAAATGATTAATCACTCTAAAACAGAGATATTTAAGGACTCTAGTTTTGAGCACCACCACATTGAATTTTCTTCTGTATATAGGTTTTTGTCAATCAAATTTTCAATAGTTTTGGAGAAGAGAAATAAAAGAACTATTCCAGTGCCCATTCCTGTGACCTTAAATTTATCAAAGTGACTTCAGCCATAGATCATTATAGCATACACTTTGATCAAACTTCTGTAAGCTTTAAAAGATCCCAAGATGACAAGATAATTGGACTGTGACTTAAAATATTGATACATGTACAGGTTAACTATCATTCATTAAGACCTAGATCAAGTCCATCAATTTTATTTTACTTCAAGGAAATATTGCTCTCTTAGAATATAAAAATTTCTAGCATGTAATATAAGTTTTGATGTGATGATTTTAATTTGTTTCAGGCTATGAAATTGCAGCCAGCAATTATATTTATAGATGAAATAGGTAAGGAGTCAGTTTCTCTTTTGTCTTTTAATTTTCATCAATGCTTAATGAATTATAAAAGTATTTTTTCTGTACTTTAGGCTAGTGTATCTGTCTTTTTCTAAAAAGTTACTCTAATGAATGTAAAGAATACAATTAAAAAACTGAGGTAGAATGTTAAGTTACTGTAAACCAACTTTTATTTGTGTGCAAGAATTGTTCGCAAGTTTTGCGACCTACTTTAACTCGTGAATATTAATCGCCGCGAACCATTTATTTTGCTTTGTATTTGTAGAGAATGTTTCCTCAATCGCGAAAATAAATCATCGCAGATTGATTTCAAACTGATGAATCGCGAATAAAAGATGACGCGAATAATAGTTGGTTTACAGTAATTGAAAATTACAAGCTGTAGTAATTCTTTGTTTAATGACCATAAATTAAGTGATTCTTTTCCTGTGACCACTGTGTTTAAATTATTTCATTGGTTTTGGTATTATTAGATTCCTTTTTACGGTCCAGAAGTTCACAGGACCATGAAGCCACAGCTATGATTAAGGCTCAGTTTATGAGTATGTGGGATGGCGTTATTACAGACCCTAAATGTCAGGTGATGATCATAGCAGCAACAAATCGTCCAAGTGACATCGACCCAGCCATTCTAAGAAGACTACCTTGCCAATTTAGCATTAAAAAACCAGTAAGTTAAGTATTTCAAAGTACAGCATGATTATGTAATTCATAGCACAGTATAAGGAAGTTTCACAGAGGGACAATTGTGCTTGGTTGTAAATGTACTTCATTATATCCAACAAGTTCATAATGTATTTTACAGCCATGGGGAATGAAAATCACTTCGCTGTAAGCGTCGATTCATTATAAGCATGTTTTACTGTACATAATGTATTATAAAGGAGACTGATTCTTCCGATCTTTGGTATGTTAATAAATACCAGCAATTTTAACTGATTGTGTTTTCCATTATTTCAGTTATTCAAACTATCTTGAGTTTTCCGAAATTAAATATATGTTTGTTTTTTCTACTTCAACTCACCATTTTTAATTGAATTGTAAGGTTAATTACCTACATACTGTTGAAAGGCGTGAAAAAAAGAACTACGCACAGTAACTCCCGATTCCCGCCTACATTTTACAACCATTTAATTCAATATTGATGACAATTTGGCCATAAAATCTTTGTTTAATACAAAGAACAGTTCAATGGTAATTGATTAATTATTTTAATTCCAGTGCTAAATAGTAAAATATCCCTAATTCCAGCTCTTGAAATTAGGGGGGTAGATGATATTTTCCACTGAAATCGGGCTATAAAGCATCACCATATTCTGAAATAATCTTGGATATGAATAAATGTTTCTTAAATCTTTTCTTATGTTTTATGCATATAAAATTAAGCATATATATTAGTAAAATATAATGTTTCAGTTGTGAAGCACTTGGAAATTGCTGAAAAAATAAGCATTTTTGTCGTTTTTTGTATATAAACATATGTTCCCCCCCGTGAAACACAAAAAGCTTTGGTATGAATTTGTGAAATAACAGTCCATATTACCCGTAAAAAGGAATTTTTGTTTCACGGGGGGGGAAAGATGTTTTAAAAATGTTTTCCGTTGATTTCTATAGTGAAAAACACGAGTTTTACCAAAATTTTACAGTTATCTCTCGTTGTTTTCCTAAAGAAGTAATGTTTTATGAAAATCCATATAAATATCAATATAAATATTAAAAATCGTTTGAATATGTTAACTTTTGAAAATTGACTTGGAGGTAGGCGGGAGAACAATGCTATCGTTCGCAGTTCTTAACAAACTGAAATTTCTTTCCTCTTTTGAAAATAATGTACCATTAGTTATAAATGTATACATACCATTTGTAATTAGTATAAAATATATGAATATTTAAAACAGCAGTATGGCAATTTTTTTCCATAATGAATTTTCTTTTCAGGAAAAACTTCAAAGAATTAATATATTAAAACTTGTGTTATGTGGAGAAGACACAGAGGTATGTTTAATTCTAAAATTGATTTTAATTACTCATATTTAAGGTTTTCTTATAAATTATATGTCTAATTTGGGCAATATTTTTCCTGAGATAAAGCAAATCTACCAGTATTACATTTAAAGCATTCTTTACAGGACTTAAATTATGAACAATTAGGAGAAGAAACCATGGGAATGACAGGAAGTGACCTTAAGGAAGTTTGTAGGGTAGCATCAACCAATCGAATCAGAGAGTTAATCCAGGACAACCAATCAGATAATATCTAGTGAGTACTCTACTGATTGTCTTAATTCACTGTTGCATTTAAGATTTTTTTTTTTTAATAGGGGGTTGAGTAGTTCATAAAATAATAAAGGTGCAGTATAACTATGTTCAATTCACTATATAATAATTCAATTTTTTTTACTAAAGGTGTAAAAATTAAAAGGGTTGCAGTGTAATTATTGCATTTTTTGCATAAATTCATATAATTTTACATCCTATTATTTTTGTGTTTTTTAAATTTTTTTTTCAGTAAAGTGAAAATAGACAGACTAAGACCTGTAACAATGAAGGATATGGCAATTGCTATTGAAAAGGTTTCAAAGTCCAAGTCAGAAGTGTTCACAAGTTTTTCTCACATTCAAATGGACTGAGGATTATTCATAAGCACAAAGACTGAGTTTCATATAATGTTGTTAAGATGCATCTTTGAACAGCCAAATGACGTATTGTACTGAACTAATACAGATATTGGATTATCACCAAACATTTATAGCTTCCCATTGGGTTTAAAAGTTCTTTCAGTTAGGTTCCCCCCCCCCCCCCTTGCTATTTTTATTGTCTTTGAATATATTTTTTTTAAATATTAAATGCTTTTTATTCTAATTAGTTATATTAAACATTCCAAAATAAATGAGTAACGCTGCATGTCATGTATAAAAAAAAAAAGGGGGGGGGGAGTAGGATTGATGATGTTTATGTAATAGTGTTGCGGGGCTTCACAGTTATAGAGTAAAAAGGGGAAAGCAATCTGAATCCCCCTCCTCCCCTCCCAAAAAACCCACAAAACACCTCTGTTATACCTGTTGATTGAAAATGTTACATCATTTTACCACTGATTCTATTCTATTGAGTGATATTTTTAGTGCTATTTTTCATCTTTTTGCTGATGAAGTCAAATATGGGAGTTACATGTATTGGAATTAAACAAACTGGCTGTGGCCACCTTAAAGAATCCTGTGTATTATTTTATCAGTCGTTTTGTCTGTCAACAAGCTGCTGTTAATTTTAAAAGAATAAAGTGTAAAATTCAAGGGGAAAACTCTTATTTATTAGGAAGTTAATGCACAGAATGGATTCCTATCTTAGAGATCTCAGTCACCAGTGCCAATATTTGAAAATCCCCTGCTAAAAAATAATATCTATATTTAGACTTGCACAGTACTAGTAACTGTATGTTTTTTATGCCTGGATGTAGCTTTAAAATGATGCCTAAAATATGATGAGCATCAAGTTTAAGTTACAACTCATAAGGATGAAAAGAAGTTCAAAGTATATAAAGGAATATACTACCTTTCACGGTATAAAATTGGATAAAACTAGCTTTTTCAAAGGAGCATGTGCTTCAGTACAAGTCTAATATATTTTTGTAGTTTCAAAAGCAGTTCCTGTTGAAAAAAATATCACTGACTGAAACAAGTACTATGCTATGAGAATACTGCAAGCAACTCTTGAGTCCCTTACCAATATGGGTCGTAATTTTCCTTAAAAAGTCTGTTACTCATCAGAATAGACTCATATGCCATAAATCAGCTCAGTATATTCTAGGGTCTTGAAAAAAGTGTGGGAAACAAGTGGCACAAACTGACTGACTTGCACACAGACGGACGGAGAGGAACTCCAAGTCCGGCATACAGTCACCTGACGAATGGTTGGTGTAACCCCCCCCCCCCCTCCATCTGAGAATTTTTTTAGACACGAGAACTTTGCAAATATACATGAATTCCTAGTCTATCATACCATTACTTCGTTATTTGATATCATTTTCCGGTTTTGTCGAGTTTTAGAGATTGTTCCTTTACGGTACATTTTGTATATATTTTTTATTTTTATATACCGTAAAAGGGCAATCTCTAAAACTTAACAAACACGGAAAATGATATCAAATAACGAAGTATTGGTATCACTATGATAGGCTAGTAATTCATGTATATTTGCATAGTCATCTCGTTTCTTAAAAAAAAAACTCTCAGAAGGAGGGGGTGTTAAACCAACCACTCGTCAGGTGCCTGCTCCGGCGGGGTTTATTATGTGCACGCAGTTACTTGAAGTGCGCGAAGCAAGTTCCTTAGAAATTATTCTCTATAGAGCAGTAGACAGACTTTCGCTTACATGAACGTAGGCTATGCCTGTCCACTTCTCTAGAGAGAATACTTAGAAGTTAGAACCTTTACTTTCAAATTTCATTATTCACTTGTGAATGTTGTATGTAGAATTTCTGAACAAAGTATAAGAACCATTCGTAAAGCTAACATATGTATTAGTAGAACAACATAATATTGATGAAATTTACATTTCAATTCAGACATTAATTCTTCGTATGACTCAGTTTGCTATATTCTTTTTTAAAACATTTATATTAAATTCATGAAATGACAGGATATGAAACATGTTTGCACAAAACACTGGTACATGTAAATATGCAATCACGTTGCAAAAATCTTTAATTTCATTCCCACATTTTACCTTTTTTTTTCTTTGATGTATTATGTATGCAGATTTTTAACTTATCTGTCAATATCTGATTGGAAATTTAATCGATTGATGCATTGCAGTTGTACAAAAGTGTGCGCCAAACAGTCCTTTTTTGCATATAGTGAATGATTGTAAAGTCACCTGTGGGCATTCATACCATTGACGAAGTTAAAACGGGTCACGATGTAACGGTGCAGTCAATGTTGATTATTAATAAATAGAGTGGGTAAGGGAGTCCAAATAGTTTATGTCAACTTAATGTTATATACCGAACAGTTCAATAGTATCTTTAAAATATGTTAATCCCCTTTCGGTTTCAGGGCATCATGCACGGATCCAGCCCCCCCCCCAGGGTGGGGGTGGGGGTGGGGGGTCCACATAAAACAAATATCGGACCGAAATTTTTTTTAACAAGAACCCCCCCCCCCCCAAATCATCCAGGAAAACTATTTCGTGTTTGTGGTGGGGTTGGGGGTTGGAAAAGTCACTTTCCTACGTTACCTTTCTTCATATACATGACTTACCATTTCACGAAGGTTCTGTGATTCCCGGGGGGGGGGGGGGGGGTAAGTAATTTTTTTTAATTACTCTACATAGTTTAATAACTCTGAAAATTCCAGGTTTTGGCTTTAATATAATAATAAAAAAGATCAAAATAATCTACCCATCTCTACAAAACTTCATTTTCGGCTTACGACAATACATCTACTTTACGAATGGATTGACAAATGCCCCTGCAAAAAGTTGTATTACCGGCTTACGACAATACATCGACTTTACGAATGGATTGACAAATGCCCCTGCAAAAAGTTGTATTACCTACAGGTACTTATAGATAAAGGACACACTCTGAAATATTATCGTCCCTCAACGGTATAACAAAAGTTCCAGGACGCAGATGTGGAGTGAAAAAACAAAAAGGATCTAAAGCAAAAAATTTCAATATAACCATTCATTTCGAGCGAGCGAGTTTGAGCGTTTCATGCACCAGCAGGTAAATAATAAAAGCAAGGGTAACTCCTGATATTCATTGCAAGCAGGAAAAATACATTCGTTACGTGGGTACTGATTTCTTCTCTGGTATTACTTAACATATGAACATGTCTAACAATTTACACAACTAGACACGTAGCAGCTTAATTTCCAATTTCCGTTCACATAAATATTAATGAAACAAGTATAGATGCATATTGTACATAAATAATTTCTCTTTGCCAACATCTGTTTTGTGTTGGCACCGTCTAGCATGGCAGGGAACCTTGTTTGAATACAGTGGTTCCTATCTTAATGACAACAACACGACGGGTGCATTGTGTTAGGAATCCGTGGTATGATTCCACTTTTCTTTATAACTTAATACCTTTTTACAATACATGTGCCCTAGATCCATGTTAAGATCTCAGTTATTAAAAACAGAAGTCACAGATAAATGATAATTATAATGTAGGGTATGTATGCTAAATTTTGATAAATCACACCAAGCTATCACAGATTAAAACGGATAAAACACAAAAACCGGCCAAACGTCTTAAAACTGAAGAAAATCGCATTAGCGATAATCTTGAAAGACAACAGGGTTCGTAATAAATAAATCTGCTAAAGTCACTGTTACGTCAATCCCGAAAATGGAGTCCCTCTTCGTTAGGAACAGCAATGTCATTGATAATGAATTCATCATCAAAGTGTACACATTGTGACAATATCACCGTCGCCTTGACGGTGATGTCTCCAAAAAGTTCGCGAGACTGTCTCAGCATCCGATCCTTGAGAGCTCGCTTGGTTTCCTCTGCCTCTTCTTGTGATATGGGAGTGGACATGAAAGTATGCATAGTCTTGCTCCCCTCCACATACCGCCACTGTATGGTCGATAACTGGTCCCGGGCCATCTGCCCCGCCCCCAGGGGGATGCCATTCACAAGACGTGGAAGCCTCTTGTAACAGGAATTGGGAATCTCCGCGTCACAGTACACCGTTTGGAATGATAGTTGCAAAAGATAACAATGTTTTTCGTCGTCTGATTTTCGCTGTGAATGCACTAACCGTCCAGCGTTTTTCGGACTGATGGTGAATTGGGAGGAAGACTTCAAGAAATAATTTTGTTGATTCCGTTCTCTGTTTAAATCCATCACTGACATTGTGTCCAATCTATTCAGAGACAATTCTAGTTCCGAAAGTGAAGCCACTTTGAAAATTTTGAAGTCCTTCCAGTAGATTAGAGGTTATATATACTACGGAACACCGTACTTAGTACACAGACGACCAAAACAAAAACAAAAGCACGTAGCTCCAAGTCAGTCACTTGTGGTTTACATTACGTATTTAGGAGGCGGTGGGAGGCAAAAGCGGTTTACCTGCCAGGTCATGTGCAGACGAATCCAATCTGATTGATTTAGGCCAAGTTAGTCGATTCCACAGGAACTTTTCTGATTATCAAAGCGTGTCAGTCCAAGATATGCGAGCTTGCCTTTTGTGTCCGTTTTTTAAAGATCTTGGAATGAATATACCTCTGTCTACGATCTGTCACTTATTAAGATATACGATTTTTGAAGAAGAATTAAAAAGAAGTATTTATTCTGAGCTGGTCGATATTCTTATATATGTTCCAGTATAGAGCGAACATTTCTTGTTTGGGAATTTTTAAATCTATTTTTATTTTTTCCGAAATTTTACACGCTAATCTCATTGCGGAAATAAAAGACGTGTTTCTTCTTCTAATGCATATTCAAGACAAAAGACATTTTAACATGCAAAAAATAAAAATTTTATATCATTTCTCCTAAATATTGTTTTATTTAAGTATTTAAAGCTTGATTCAAATATAGATCGAATGTTTCATTTCAATATCACAAGTCATCTACAGTCACGGTACTGAGACGGGAAAACGGAACTTTTACTGTCAATTTTTACTTCCATGAGAGTTACTTCTTACGAAAGCCCATTGAGCTCATTTTGGTAGGTAAAAAAAATATATTTTTCGCGTTATAACGCGTAACTTTCGCGTTATAACGCGAAACTTTCCCTGTAAAACAGAGACATTTGCATAAGTCTACAGTTTGTTTTACTTTTTAATGATCTAGTTTATTCATTACAATGAAAAACGAAAGACTGTTTTGAACTTGGATTATCACAAGCTGAAATTTTATGTTTTCTCGCCATTGAATGTGTCTCTCCTCTTTCTAATTCATTTTTGCTGTCACATGTTGTCTTTCTCAATGCTGTTCAATACAAGTGTTGAATTAAGCGTATAGTAGAGGATCGAAAATACAAGTCAAATTTTAATTAGATTAAACACTCTTTATAGAATTTGAAATAAAAAATCTCAGAAAATTGACAACAATGAGGTAAATTTCTATATTTCACGGAACAATTGTGCCACATCACATGAGTAACCTAATGTGAAAATTGGATGATAAATATTCGTATCAAATGATTCATCTTCGATATACTCACTGTAGAAATACAACATTGTATTTTAAGGTTGCACCACTTGGTCATACATGTACCATTACTTACGAAAACATTGACAATTTATTCAAAGAAAGCAACGAGTGGAGATTTTCCTGAGAAAAAAAAAATTAGTCTAAAGAATTTCTTGGATTCAACAAGTGAAAAACAAGAAAATCTTTAAAGGAATATTCATTTAATTAATTAGTAGGGTTTTGAGATTAATTGCAAAATCAACACTAATCTATCCACTTCTCGCATCAGTTCTCTTTTACATCTTCTGAAGAAATGTCATTTATAAATTCGTAGAAGTCCCCCTCTGCGTTCATGTTTTTTATCTGTCACTCAAGATCACAGGTTCCTGAGTAACATGACTATATATGTATAATTCCGCGTTATAACGCGAAAGTTTCGCGTTTATTCGCGAAAGTAACACGTTTATTCGCGAAACTTTTGCGTTATAACGCGAAAGTTTCGCGTTTATTCGCAAAAGTTTCGCGTTATAACGCGAAAGTTACGCGTTTATTGGCGAAAGTTTCGCGTTATAACGCGAAAGTTACGCGTTTATTGGCGAAAGTTTCGCGTTATAACGCGAAAGTTACGCGTTTATTCGCGAAAGTTTTGCGTTTATTCGCGAAAAAATTATTTTTTTACCCACGAAAATGAGCTCAATGGGCTTTCGTAACTTCTAGCTAGATACATGGATGATAATATCATTTTAAGTAGAAACCACACTTAAAATTCACGTCAAAACCGAACTGAATTAAAAAAAAACAAAATACAAGCATAGTCAATGATGTCCAGATACAAATATATAAATATAATAAATATACTAGCTAGTACTACGTGATATCCTACTTTTCAAAATAAAAAGGTTAAAAAAAGAAGAATATTTATAAGAGAATCAAAGAAATGTCAAAAAATTTATCGATAAGGCATTGCAGACTGCCAGTTATATCTATGAAATTCATACTGGGAACGTTTAAGAAAGTTCTGCATTGAATTGTATCAGCCACTAGATACGAGTACTAGTAACAATACCTAAATACATATGTGTTAAAGCCTTAGCAATGGCATGACTACACTAGGGAGTGACTTAACCCCTAGAATATAAGGGGGAAAATCTTCAACATGAAGGAATCAACAAGGACAAAAAACAAAACGAGGAAAGGAGAGCAAACAGATTATAGTTTGAAGAGAGTGTTCGCTGGTTCCATCACGTATTTCTGACCCCCACTGCTCCTCCCAAACGGTGTGGAGCGGACTAGAAACAAGCGTATAGAGATGTGGCTGACCTATGTCAATATGGTATATATACAGTATCATTTCTCAAAGGAGATGGGTAAACAAGGCGCGCAGAATGCCTATAGCTTCAGATATATAAAAATCATATTCTATCTGTGAATTTAGTATTTAAAGTAAAGATATCAATATTAAAATTTATGAAATTATGACCCAAAATTTTTTTTCTGAGGAAAATTTTCTCGGCAAAAATTCTATTATTGAAAAAAATATGTGGTATTCCCGGGGTTCGAACCCTAGCAATAAAAATCATGTGTCAGAAAAGTTTATTTTTAAAGTAGAGTGGGATTTTGCTCCATGATTTAGTTAACCAAAAATGTATATTTTTACGTAAACTTTGAGGATAAACTTAAAAAAAAACACACACACAAACTGAGCGAAGACCACTCATATCGAATAAATTATGTTATAGTATGAGAAAATGATCCTTTTTGCTCTCTTTAGTGTGTGTATGCTATATGCTATTTCACAGGCAGTTAATTTTAATCTTTGTGAGATTTTTGTAATTTGTGGAGATTTTACATAAAGTATACTTTAATAATGTTAATAAAATATCAAAGAAAATTTTGTTATAATTGAGATTTAATTTCCACCCTAATATTTGTCGCACTATAGGCATTTTGCGCGCCTTGTTCGCCCATCTTCTTTGAAAAAAAGTAAAAAGCGGAATATTTGCAGCAATCAATTCATTTGCTTACTGTTTGAAATCGGATGAATAAAACATTTCAAATCCTTAATCAATTAAGTCTCATCCCCTTTCCAAGATTTGCAGGATTTGTATATACCGAGAATAACTTAATCTTGAAGGACATATCTCATACTACACATAGTATAAACTAACCAACTTCGATAACTTCCAGAATCAGAAAGAAATTTTCAGACCTCCATTCAAAGTCCTTTTTTAATACTTTATTTTATAATCATGTATTTCTATGTACGTATTTCATCACTTAGATTACACACAAGATTTTTTTTAATTTCCAGTTACTGTACTTATAAACTGCTGACATGATCATATTCTCAAATGTTGAGTTATCAACACATGGCTTTTTAACTCTGCTCTTTCAAAATTTATATGGCATTTATTGATTATGTGTGCAGCCAGTTATCACTAAAATCAATTCACCTTGACAAAGTCGAACTAGGTGCACGTCTAATGGAAATTAAAATGTGGTTTTTAAGGGATTATATTTACCCAAGACTGGGGAAGTTTTATCATTCAAGGGCCATAAATTTAACCATTTCCTCATTTTAATCTTGAAAATATATATCCATTAAAATCTAACAAGTTGATGGTTTCATTTCTTAGAAATAAGATTTTGCAATTGTAATACAAAAAGAAATCTCTGTCTCTCTTCATGTATTTTGAATGATCTCTTTAGATGTTTTAAAAAACAAGAAAATTATGAAGTAAATAGAATTCTAATTTATTTATTCACTTGACATGCATTTCTAGATAATGTCACTTTCTTTCAGAATTGAGTTTATGGTCAGCCATTTCTGACTGATCAAGCCCAGTTACATCACTCATATGAAGGATCACTGTTTACTTTGGTCATAGGTCTTGTTATCATTGTTAACCGTACAAGATGCCAAGGAAGGCTAAGGTTTTACATCTTGTTCTTCACCTTTTAAACAGTCCTGATTCTCTAATGATGAAGCCTGAGGTTTTCTTTCCTGTTTTGCACCTTTGAGACAGTTATTTTCTTCTGAAGAGGAAGCCTGAGATTTTATTTCTTGTTTTTCACTTTTGAGACAGTCTTCATTCTCTCTGTGTGTTGTAGATTCAATATCCTGGTTTTTTTGTCTGTGAACTAGTTTCACATTTCTGTGTGCCTGTTTGAAAACTTGACTCAATGTCCTGTTTAACATGGGCCCCCTTCCTTTGAGGTATAACTGAACAAAATGACTGAGACCAGTTCTTTGTTTCTGTGTATTTTAAAAGTATGTCGAACACTGAAAAAGATGTCAAAGCCACTATATGTACATTTGAGAATTCTATGATTACTTACACTAAACTAAAAGCATGTTTAGTTAAAATTTACTCTGTTTTTATTTATGTACCAAAAACCAAGAAATAGCCAACAATTCATATAATTCCAACAACAGAAGTGACTCCATTCACTGATAAAGAAGCTTGGTATCACCTATCAGATACACTCAATGGTCTTTAATGAGCCTGGTCTTTCTTCTGAATTAAACATTTTCAATACTTGAAACTATCACTTCAGAAATAACATTTCAGTATCGTAATATATTCAAATTGCATACTTTTCTTATTTACATAGCACAATCCATTAAAAATTTAATGCACTGAGATTTTTACTCAACATGTTCCTGACAAAATGAAACTTGCATTTAAAAAAAAAAATCTTCTTTGAATTTTCAATATAAATCAAAACCAGTGAATCTCCAAATGAAAAACAGATTCTACAATTTTTATTTTCTCCACAGACTTTAATTCTCCTTTAATTCCTTACCATGGTTAATGGTGAGAACTTTTCTGGTTTTCATATCTAGGAACTCTGAGATTGGGAGTCTTGCATGTCCTACACCTTTCTCTGTTGCTAAGGAATGACACAACCCCTAAAAACAATAAATAAAAAAGAGAAAATCAGTGATTTCACAGTAAGTGTGCTCTTGAAAAAATTTAAAGAGTATATACATGTATATATAAAAGAGCTACATCATGAAATTTGTCCTTTCATCCATCTTTTGGTCAAGTTTCTTAAGAAGAAGATATCCTTCAAATGGCTATACCCTATTTCTATCATTTATTATCTCCCTTTGGAAAGGGAAGGTCCTTTATCAAACAAAGAATTAGATTAATTTCACTCAAAGATGCTTTATGAAAAAAAATTAAAATTCATTCTGTGTGTCTGAAGGAGAAAGGAAAATATGAAAAACTTTTGCCAGACATTATATCCTTATATATGCTGGACAAAGTTCATTCATGAAAACTCCATTGAGCATGTAGCTCAGGTGAAGTAAAACAGAAAGGTATATGGCAATAATTTTATATATTACATTTACTTGAAACTTGAGACTTGAATTAATGGAAAAGATATTTGAAGGCTTTTATAAACCTTGTAATGATTATGATCGACAAGTCCTCCAATGATGTAAGCTTTATTTGGCTCTAGTTCCTGCAGTGTGTTTTCCGATTCGCTACTCAAATAGACAATGTTCTCCTTCTCAAATACTTCATTGTAATCCTTGCTGGTAAAATTCACCTGTATTTGTGACATAAGATTTAAAACAATTACTTGGTGTGCCTAAAATATTTACTAAACTGAGAGGGTTTAATCATGCAATGTTTTAAGAACATTGAATGTTATTTCTTTTCTTCCAATACTGCGTTACTAATGAATTCTCTCAGATTTCATGTCAGGTGAAAATTTGAATCTTCAGTTCTTCACTATACAAAGACGCTGCCAAAAATCTTTAATCATTTCTGGTACTAAGATTTTCAAAGGACTCCCATTTCTTAATTATCCATATTAATTTGGGAAGAGGTATTGGCTATCTTTTGGGGAAAAAAAAATGAATATCTCTTATCTGAGGATACATGTACTCCAGTGCAAGTGCATGTATACTCAATATTGCCCATGTGGTTCTGTGGTAGTTAAAATAGTTCAACATTTTATAGATTATACCCTACAACCTAAAGAGATAGCAAACAAGTCTTAAGTAATAAAGAAATATATCTAAAATCTTAGTTGTAGACAGAATTTAAATTTAACGTATATGCAGAGTTTTACATACATCCCAGTTCTGATAATCTCCAATGCCCTCCAGTCTTGCTTTTGTTTGGCCATGTACACCAGTAACATAAAACTGCATAGGATTCTGTGATCTTCGATTGCTGGAGTAACAAAACTGAATTTGCTTCACTAGCTTCATGATATCCTGGAAAACAAACATTCCTTTTTACGAAAGGTAATACCAAAGTACATTTAAAAATGGAAGGAAACATCATGATGACATTGCAAGACACTAGCAGAACCTTTCAAAATAACCTTTTTATTACCATTATAATCAAATTTTTGAAGAAAGAATTTGTAACATTTGATTTATATCTTACCTTCTCCCCCATATAACTATCCAAAGAACAATCTATTACTACAGAAGTTTTACAAGAAGATTTCGCCATTGTGTTAGTCCGCAACTTTTTCCTGGTAGGTGCCATGACATCTCCTCTCTCTAAGGCCTCTCGTCTTTTCTGCTTCTTTCTCTGTTTTTCTTTAGCTCTGCAGATGAAAATTCAGTATATCTTATTCTTATGAGGGTTAATCCAAAAGTAATGTCACAACTGCTATAAAATCTTTAATAAATATAAAAAAATAAAAAAAGATAAACACAACGTTAAGTTTTGTCTATCACAGCATGGCAAGAATGTTACTGACGTCGTTATGACGTTACTTTTCAGCACTCATTTTCAGTTCATGCACATATCTTTTAACCTCTCCCATGCTTTTTTTTTTATATCTTTACTGCCTTTTCACTGTAAACTGTCTTGTTTTGAGTTGTAGTATTAAAATTATTTGAACTTTGTCCAAATGTTATTTCTGAATTCATTCCTTTTTGCGTAAATCTTATGTATCATCAGATTCAAAATGAGTATTAAAAAGAAATGTCATAAAGACTTTGGTACATTCTTGCAGTACAGCAGTAGACAAGACCAAAAGTTGTGCTTATTTTAATTTTTTTATAAAATATTGCATAGATCTGAATAAAATTTTAGGTCAAAAGTCAATATACAGTAAAACTTGTTTAGTACGAACATGGATATAGCGAATTCACGGATATAGCGAATTTTTCTTGGATCCCCAGCTATATAAATTTAACGAATTTCTTATACGGATATAGCAAATTATGGATATAGCGAAGTAATTTCAAGGTCCCTGTGACTTTGTTATAACCGAGTTTTACTGTAGTTAGAAGTATTAGTATATGAAGTTTTGATGAAAACTGTGGATTATTAGACTTAATATTTTATAGCAGTTGTGACATTATCTTTCTATCAACCCTTGTAGGTGCAAGATTACTGGTTCATTGTCTGAAAAAAGCTAAATTTACATAGTTTTCATTAATACCCCCCCCCCCCCTTAAAAAAACTAAATGTGATGAATGTTGATTTTAATCTGATTATCAAGTACTAGTACATATATGATACTAAAAATAATAAACATTGTATTTCTTTTGTTTATTCATAAAAAGAAACATTTCAAATACTAATATCATAGTCTTTATGTATAATATGCATTTTTCTGTGTAGAGATTTATGTCGGACAAGAAAAACTTTTGGGGCTCTTAAGCCTTTCCCTTACTATTTGAATTAAGTTTTTTATCCAAAATCTATCTTTTGATCTCATCCATTACATGGTTTATCATCCATCATTCCTTGTACAGTAAAACACACTTATAACGAAGTGCTAGGGACGGATAATTTTGCTTCGTTATAAGCGTAATTTGTTATATCCGTTTGTTCAACAATATATTTTTAATTAAAGTCAATGGGAATGAAAATTACTTGCTATAAGCATCAATTCATGATAATCGTGTTTTACTGTACTCCATTTATCATTAATATCAATGATGAGGAAAATTTAGAATTTTAATTTTTTTCCTTTTTTATCTCTCTGTAATCCCTTCCCATGGGCTTGTGAAAATAGTCATTTTTGACATTACATCAGAAGGTAGAATGCAAATTAAAGGAAGAAGAAGGATAAAGATGTGGTGAAGTGAAATTTGATCAGGTTAAAAAAAATGTTTGCATTTCAAATAACCAAATCGACCCTAATTTTTACTCACCATCCCTACTACTTTTTATTCCAAATCTGGATTTTGAACTGTGCTTTTGTTCACTAGTACAGTTTTCTCATAGTGCAGTCAATAAATGCATGTCTCAGACACCGTAAAAACAAATCTATTCAAGTGTTTTCAAGAGTACACTTATTTTGCTGTATATCTTTATTTTTACATGTATATGCATATGTGACAAAGGATAGTGTAATGAACAATTAACTGGTGCTTTCAAAATAAAAAGTAAAGTTTTAAAAAAGCTACCACCTACCTACCTACTCTAATTTTTTTGTCATGTTACCGGAATCACACATACAGGGATTGACATTAACAGTTGTCCGATTGCCTGGGACTTGTAAATTCTCAGTTCGGACATGTGGAACTTTAGATGTACTTGTCTGATCGAGCAACTGGATTTTTCTTATAGAAATGTACATATTTATTTAGTTTACATTAATTTATAAATAAAACAATAAATTGAGCATTTGATTTCCGCCAGGTACCTGACTGATATTGATTTGTGCTTGTAATTCCTTGGTAGCATACTGTCCATTTAAAATCGGGTTCATTATTCTGTTTTCTTTTGTGGTAAATATGGTCTACGTCTAACAACTTTGTTAATTTCTTACTCGGAAATTAGATTATTTATTCACTCACAGAATACAAGTAACACATTATATCCTGATCAAGATATGTAATGTTTGTATTAGCAACTATCTTCCTTTAACGTTGCTTAATAATTATCTCTGAAAATCATGACTCACAAAAGGATCCTACCGAAAATAATTTTTAAAAATTTGAATTTTATTAAAAGGAAACAGTGGCTTATTGCTGCATGGCAGTGTGTGTTAACATGTTAAATTGACAAGAACAAGTGTGTTAACATGTTAAATTGACAAGGACAGTGGCACACATTTATGTACAATCGCAGCATCGAATTTTTTTTTCATGTAGTTCATCTTGCCAAGTTGACAGTAGTGTATTTGGTCAATTTTTTTCTTACCATAACATTTACAGTAATAAATAATATTCTTCTTCCCTAATTTTGGGTAACCAAGTTTTGCTTTCGGACAAGCCAACGAGGGGAAGGATTTTTCTAGGTCTTTATTTGCCTCATTGATAAAAATTCTGGCATCTGTGCCTTGAGGAACTTGAAACGGAAGGATGCCTAGGAGAAGAATACGTCAATTTTCAACTGAACTGACATCGAACCATGACAAGGAGTGGTTGATAAAGTTGTCATTTCAATAATTAGTTTATTACCTCACGTCTGCTTTTATGGATAACCATTTCTCTTGTCGTTGCTGTCTTCTGAGTTGTTTCTTTGACATTGTTGCACTGGCCTGTGTTTCCTTTTTCTCTTCTTTTGTAACAGAATCCATGTCTAAGTTCCTTGGACATCCACGCTGACGACTATTTCAAGTTACTTGACAACACAGTAATACTCCACCGACAAATCATGGAGGCTGACATATTGAATCTCGATCTCGTACGATGCGAGATTTAAGTGTGAATTCGTCTGCTACAAAAATAGTTTCGTTTTTGGTAAACTCTTTTAAAATTTCTTTTCTTCCATGAATTGATTGTAACTTTTTTAATGTTTTTCTTTTTTGTACAGTTAATACAAGAGTTTCTTTGTAATTTATATATATGTAATCATAATCCCCTACGGCTTGCCTTCTAACCGTTAAGTGAGACGTTGAGCTCTAAGCTGAGTTACATCGCCTAAAGCAGTTGTTATCAACTTATACATACACAGTCACTGTAGTTCTTTGGAAGCCCTAAGTATTTATTTCCTGCATAATCTGTATATAATTATCACAAATCATATTTGTTTATTCAGTTATTATATGTGGTGTTTTGTGTCTTTATCATGTACTTACATTGAACTGAGGACCATGACATCACTTGTTATCATGTACACATGTTTTTGAACTTTGAACGTGTGGACTTTATATCTTCATCAACTGCAGAGTGCTATATACACGTGTACAAAATGGCAGGCAGCACTGGTGTTAATTTTAAATTGGTTATTTGTTTGTTTGCTCTATTTTATGAATGTAAGTTAAATTTTTATCTTGTACAGATTTAAAAAAAAAAGTTTAAATTAAGTGTTATGAATTATCCTGCTTCTTGAGATGCATGTTTACTTTTTTTAAAAGTAAGGTGGATGAGCTTTTATATATTTTTTTTTATTTGCAGTAACAAAATCAAAAAGAACAGTGAATGTTATTTCTGAGTTGTGTTTTGGGTTGTATCCATTTATTACAGAAAGATTTAAAATAGCTTTAATATTTATTATTTTTTAATGGTTTTAGAACCATATAGAAGAGATCTGAAATAAACTTGATAAACAGTAACAGTTAAGTCTGTCAGACACTGAAATCACAAATTATACTTGCTTCTGGTGAATTAGTTTCACTGGAAGTAATAATTATTATGATTTTGTTGTACACAAAAAGAGGTTATGAAGAATTACTTCCCCTGAAATGTGCCTTATATTAGATCGAAGACTGTGCTTTCACAGGAAATAGTTGCATTTGTTACTATGAAATGACATCATTAGTGTTTTGAATGATATTATCACTAAGTCTAAGGTTTGAAATTTGAAGGAATGTTTTTTTTTTCATAGAATATAATGAACAGTTGTATAAATACACAATATACATTATATGTAATTATATATTTTAGGTCTTTCACTCACTTTTGGACCAGGGAAAACCTACAAATATACATATGAAACAGTTGTGAATTTTAATGAGGCTGTTTCAACTGGAAAATCTGTTGGATTTCAACTGACAACAGAATTTGAAATCGGAGCAGTATTCAAAGCTGGTGATACTCAGCTTCTAAAAGTGCAGGTGTAGTTTTATACTAGCACAATGTGCGTAATAAATTCTCCCGAAAGTTTAACTAAGGATTTTGACATTTGTTCTCAGCATAAAATGTTTAAATATGTTTTAAGTGTTTGTAAACTGCATTTTAATCTATGATGGTGACTGATAATAGTTCAATATAAATATGTGCATGTTCATGGTCCGCACAGTATACCATAGATTGCATACTATATTTCAATTTGTTTTTTAAATTACAGATTACCACTGCATCAGTCTCAAGTTTTTCCAGACGAGATGTCAAGGGAGAATTAGTGAAGCTTCTTAAGTATCCAATTTATTTTGAATATACTGATGGAGTTGTTGGAAAAATATATGCTTCAGAGGTTGAGTCAGTATTCTGTTCTAACATCAAGAAGGGACTCCTGTCATTGTTTCAACTCCAGGAGACTGAGGGCCAGAGGGATGAGGTACCATGCACAATTGAATGTCACTATATCCATTATCGTGACACAAAAATATTCCTGATTATTTATATAATATATGGAAATTCTTGTAAATTTGACACTTTGAAAAAAAAAAGATAAGAATCCATAGGTATTGATACATAGGCTCACAGAACTTGAAGAATTAAAGTCTTTAATTATGCTTTCAGTTAGTGATCTTTTAGTATTGTAAAAATCTTCGTTTATACCTGTGAATGTTGAAACAAAAGGTGATTCACAATGCAGCCTATCTTCATGTACATTTATTTATACTAATAATCCATTTAAACTCTGGTTGCATGATAGGTTGATGTCTCTGGGGAGTGCAGTGCCTACTATGCAGTGTATGGGGGCAGAATCACAAAAACTAAACAGAACTGTCAGAATGTGGAGATAGCAGGAGAGTTTATAAATGTCAATAAGGTAAAATATCTGGAATACTTCTATCAGGTCATTTTCCAAGTAAAATCCTTCCCACAACCATAGTGTAAAAATGCATAATAGCCAAACATTAAGTTTTAGAGCTCTTGCAGTCTGAGGGGCATACTTATTTGCAGATTGAGCCTTTAGGCTCTGGAGGACTGTTTTCCCTCCCCTTCAGAGGAGCATTCTTCAAAATCTTACTGTAGAAAGGATATTTAAATAAATGATAGTATTTCTCTGACATACACTCCATCTATTGTTTCTACACTGTAGAGTTCAAAACTATACGCTAGCTTTCTCTTTTGTCTTTCAAACATAGGAACCAACTTAACAATTTCATTTTAAAAGTTTGGAGATGATAATTATTGTAGATGTTTGGAGTATCTACAGACAATACATTTGTGACACATTACGACACAGCTGATGGAATCATCAAGTCAGCCACTGGTTCCTCCAGACATTCCATCATTACTAATGCTAGACCACAGCTTAATGCTGCTGTTGTGGCCATGTAGGTCCCAGGGCACCTTTTTATTTCCAATGAAGTTACTTACTTTGCAAAATGCATGTTGCAATTTAGATTGAATATTAAACAATAGGCATGAAACATGCAATAAGTATTTGTTTTCTCTTCTTCCTTCTAAGAATCAGGAAAATTAAGACAATTATTGATATGTAACAGAAATTGACAGTTTAAAAATTCATGTATGACTTGTTGAAATTTTCATTATAGACAGCGGTTAAACTACATTAGTGAAGCAGAAGGTACTGCTGAAGTTGCAGCAAACAGTATTCAGGATGCACTTGAGTTATTATATAAAGGTAATTTTTTCTACACTTCTGATTTTTTAATTCAATTAAGAAGATTTTTTTTTCTCTTTTTCCTTTTTTTTTTGTTGTGAAAAATAAATCCACTTTCAAACATGCTATAGGTGAGCCTAAAAAATATCAAGAGATGTTATTACCAAGTGGACCAGAAGTACAGGAGTGCATAGAAAATTGTGAAAAAGTGAGCAAATAATTTGTAAAGGGTAGTAAATTGATCATGCAAGTGTACAACTATGTTGTTAATCACCTGAAAGTTTATATCAGATGTATCTTTCTATACTTATATAAAATCTATAAAATCTAATGAACAGTGTTTTGTATGAAGGCAGTATGTTCAGTTTTGATTTTTTCTCTTTGCAGCCTGTATCTATTTTACAATCTGTCAAGGAGGACTTGACGAGTGATAAACTATCAAAAATTGTCTCAGGGAAAGCTTTTTTAAAACTTTTGAGGGCATTTAGAAATTCTGGTAAATCAACAATAGAGGAAGTTTTGACACACAAGGACAGCTATTACATCGTGTAAGTAAGATATTTTCTTTTCTTCATATTAAGGTCAGACGACACATTCTTCAAAAATATATAATTTTCCCCAATATTTTGTCATTGAAGTATAGCTACTTAAACAAGTTTCCTCACCAAAAATTGAGGTATCTTACCAGGCATTTGTGCAAGATACCAGAGGGTGATATTCCTTATATAATCCTTATGTGTATTCTTTTGAATTGCCAGTGTCACAAGTTTTGGTGTACTTATATTTTTAAAACATATTGAAAACAATTAAGAAATCACAAGAGAATGACAATATGAATAATTTCTTATATAACACCAAGGTATACAAAACAGATATTTGAGGAACGTGTCATCTGACCTTAATATTCTTTGCACATGCAGGTATGCTGCATTATATCTTTTCACAAACAGGAAGTTCAGGAAGTTGGAGAGCTCCATTAAGTTATGGATTTCTTTTTATTTAATTCAAGCTTTGGTGAGCTTTCTGGCTGTCTGTTGGTTAAAATTTTCAAAACTTTCAAGATATGTTTAATTATAATTTTAAAAATGAGAAATTTAACCATTTTTTTTTAATTTTAGAAATTTAACCAAAATGCATGCAGTGCATTTTTGGTTCTTCTCATGGACATTCATTTTATTTCAAGTCAGACAATAATAAAGATGATGCATAAATAAAGCACGTATAGAGTGTGCTATTGAAAAAAAAATGTCTTAAGAACTAGATGCACTACTACTAAAAGGACTTTTTTAAATTATCTTTTGCTAGTTCAAGGATACCATCAGGGTTCAAATTTTTACAAAGATGTATTGTACCTTGTAATTCTCTTCTAATGTGCCAGCATCATGCCAAACTTCTTGAATGCTAAAAATCAAAACTATCAAATAAGTTTGCAAGCATCATGCTGTACATGTATGTATTTAAGTTGTTTTTAAACTTTGACTTATGCTTAACATATATCGAAGTAGGGTGTAAAAAATTACATTAAAATATATAGGATTTTTTTTTTCAAAAAATTATCCTCTCAATAAGGATTCAATTGGTCACTCAGATTAAAATGCAAAATGAAATATACAAAAGTGTAGATAAATTTTCTTAATAACCATGCTATTGGGACAGAATGAAGTACCCTGAGAAAACTTCATGGCTTTTGGTTTAGAGCAGACAAGAATAATTGTCCAATATTCATGACATTATTCAATGTGAAGAGAAAGGCAAATTCAGAATATTGTGGCCCATTGACTTCTTGTTTGATATAATTTTTAAAGTTTGTTATGTTTAGGAAACAGCTGATAGATGTTGGAGCAGCTACACAGACTCCAGCAGCCCATGCATCAATGATGCAGTTAATCTCATTTATGG